ATATTATCGAACCTTTGTGGTCTACATTGGAACGGAAAGTGCGTTCTCGTTATCCACCGTCAACATCGTTATCGGAACTTGCCACCGTTTTGCAGGAAGAATGGTATAATATTCTCTTGGCAAACATACAGGAACTGTATTTATCCATTCCGAGAAGACTGCAAGCTGTTTTGGATGCCAACAGGTTTCCTACACCATATTAAGCAAAGAAACATGTTTTTTTAAAGGTGTTTCCATATTTTTGTCCAACCCCTGCATATCTATTAACACAACGTCTACATCATCTTACATCTACCTCATAAAACAAAGTGCCGAGTGTTCTATCAATTTCACTCGTGCAGTCAACAGCTAAAATTTAGACAGCCCGCGAGGAAAAATATTAAGCTATGGATTTAAAATTCCACACATATTATCACCATAAAATCTTAGTTTATGATATTTATAATTTAATATCTAAAAGCAAATGGCATAAAAATACATGTATATCTTGTCAAAAAAAAAGGGGGGTGGACAGTTCTATATCTCGCGTTCTATTGGACTGACTGTTGAAATTTAATATGCGTTCTCAAAAGTGTGATTTAGGATATATATATATAACATTATTCTAACATAGATATTTTGCCACAAAATCGGAATTTTTCTGAAATAACATACCAATTATTTCCCATATTTCGATTCTATGATTTGAATTATGCCTAGATGTTAAATTTTGTAATTTCTGGTGAGAAATTTAAAAATTTATCTTGGCTATATAAATCTTAGATAATAAATTTATCTTAGATAATTTTTCAGTTTGTGCCACTTCTTAATTTATAGTGCTCTATTTTCCTTTCCAATTTTTCATTGCGCATGAGTGGAAAAAAAAAACACATCGGTCCTACTTTCAAATAATTTTAGCAAAGTGCATAAAAGACATTTGATGTTATCGTTTTCAACAAATATGCCAAATTTCAAAATGTGCCAATATATAAATTCATGTATATTTTGAATAAACTACTCTAATTTTTTGCAAGTGTGCTTAGAAATACATCTACTTTAAGATGATCGAAATTTTATAGATTATAATTAAAAAAGTTTTTCGAAAAATTTACAGAAATTATTTAAAAATACAAATTTAAAAAATAAGTCAGAAAAACGAGCGAATTTCATTTGGAATGAGCCTAAATTTCGAAATGGGGAAAGAAGAACCAAAAACGTTTAATAAAAAAAAAAAGAGATATTAATAAATATATACAAAATTCAGTTAACATGGAAGAGTTAAAATTTTGAGACCCAATTTTTTAAAAACTACTCGAGTCATTTTTACAAAACCTGGCACTTTGGCATAATTTGAGTCTTAGAGTTGAAACATGGGAAAACAACTGGTACGTTATTTTAGAAAAAGTCCTATTTTGTGTCAAAATACCTATATTAGAATAATGCTATACAGTCAAAAGTCGTTAATTCGGACCTCAAAGCTAAAAACTTTCTGCGCATGCACCGCGTTGGCACATGCGCACAGGCGTTTTACGCGTGTGCGTAAGACCTTGACTACTGCGCATATGCGTGTGCGCAATATGTTTTCGCCTGCGCTTTTAATGTATAACGGACAGTGTAAGCTAAAATTATCTAATTATCTATTTCACTTAATGTTGATGATTGCGTTGTTTCTTAATCTTCGAATTGGATCCCGCTTATTATTTTTTGCAGACTGTAAGAGCAATTTTATAAAAGTAAACTTTCGATTATGTCAAATAGAATTTCCGATGCTGGAACTTGCAAAGGATCTACAAAACTAAAGTATGTTTCGATGTCCAACAAACAAAAAGTGGAATTGCTGCAAAAAATGGATAAAGACATGAAGAATGTGACAGAGAGGTTAGTGAAAACGAAGAAATTTCGATTGACAAGTTAGTCGGTATTCTCGGCACAGCAATTAACGGGACGCATATTTCACAAGTGCACATCTGTGTAGCCACCGAGGGAGTGGCTTCTAGGATGGACCAATGAGAATCCAGTAATATTTCTGTCATGTCACATGACCTTTGCGTGCTTTAGTATTTAAGCAGGGATGGTCGGAAAATAATTAAAGTATCGTCGATTACTTCTGAAACTTTTCATTGCGAAGTTAGATCAAATATAGGCAATTATGATTTCACTACCTGGTTGAAATAAATACAAACACGTGTTGGATACTTCGCAAAAATATCGATGTGAAATATTACTTAATAAGTGGTAAATAAGATAAAGAAAGAAATATGTGATAAATATCTGAGCCCAAATGCAATCTTTACATAAGACTATGCGTATGAGAAAAATATTTACACCAATTATACATGTAAATAGAAGTCAGCACTTTTTTATTGCAGTCTATATGAAAAAGATGTTCTATAATAATAACCAATGCAGAATTTTTATTCAAAGTGAACTTTACTAATTTGCATTCGTATACATTTAGTGCTTTAGATTTCATATTTAATAAATGTTCACTCTTAAATGTACTGTCTACACAAGAAATGCTCATCAAACAGAGTGAATTTATCGTATTCACAACGAGTATATTCAATTTATTCACTTATAATTTTTAATGTTAACAATGGATATAATCAGATCATATGTATTCTGAATCTTACACTTTAAAAATCAAAAGACTGAAATAAGAAAACACTAGATTCATTGTAACACTTTCAGTCATTCTCAGCTCAATTAAAAAAAAAAAATATATACACTTGAATTTTCTTAATCCACATAATATGCCGTGAACATCAATCCTAATATTATGCGTGAAAAAAATCGCGAAAGTGAAATGTCAGCGATTAATCAAACTCAGAAAATGTAAGCACTACGAGATTTTCCACTGTTACGCCATATATTTATAACTGCGAAACGAATGCAAATTATAACGTAAACAACATATGCTCACATGCACGAAGATTTAGCGTCACAAGAGCAATAGCAGCTCATTGGTCCATTTTCGAAACTCCTCCCTCAGTGGCTACGCTGATGTGCACTTGTGAAATATGCTAACGGGACTTGAACAGCGGAACTTTGTAACTGAACAAGAAATTATGTCTGTTTATAGAATTAAAGAGAAAGTATTATCACATAAAATGAAGCAACTTAAACAACTTACATTGAAAGAAATGTTTAATAAAGTAAACAAATAAATATTAAGCTTTTTTTTTTGTAAATTTTGATACCCTTTAGATCATAATTGTTCTTTATTTCATAAATTACGGTTTCATATTTTTAATTTTAGAATTTCTGCATGCCATCTTACGAGATTTAAACTGATGATCTATAATCCGGAATCGCCGAAGTCCCGACGTGTACGAATTAACGACTTTTGACTGTATATAAATCTAATATACATCCTAAGCCGTGCATTCGAGACATGGAAAACACAAGTTCAATTTAAACAATCGTTTCAGTAGAATGGGAGATATAGAACTGTCCCTTTTTTTGTGTGTGTGCAAGATATATATAAGGATTTCAATTATCTTGGAAAACACAGTCTTCATCGATATACTTCTGTTAAATGTTTTAAAAATGCGAAAACCTACAATGCTTTTCTAAATAGTTAATTTATTGAACCATTATTATTATTATTTTCTAATTTTGGAAGGGGATACCTGTGTTATCTCACTTCTAAGACAATTACACTGGAAATATTATTAGTCGAAATTCGTTATAATGACTTTCCATGAAATCCATAGTTGATACGCGTAGTAGGACAACAGCCCCCAATGGTGTATTAAAGCAATTTTTGCTCTAATGGTCATATATTCTAATGTTCTTTTCTGTTGGATGTGAGAGCTTGTTATGACAAGCGTCGTCGGCATTAAAATTACAAAAATATATTTTCCTTGTCAGTTATTTATATTACCATATCAAATAACATTTTGTAGGCATTACAAAATTACATTTGCTACTAGGCAAAAATTTTAGATAATTTTCTTAAAATTAAATAGCTTTAAATAAGTATTGAAATTAATATGCATCAAAAAATTTTCTTAATTAGCTATTCTGGTAATTGGATAAAAACTGCACTAAGTTAACTAATTACTTAAATAAATAAATCTGAAGGCTTTCAGATGCCAAAGGGGCATTTTTTAATGTTTTATGTGTTACCATTATTTATTAAATATGTTTCTCGCACTTAAACCATAAAATTAAATTCAACAGCTATATTGCAAAATAATTTTAAAATGAGCCTGTCTTTAGAATTTCCGATACACAGTCTAGCGCGCTTGAGATAAAAATGTCCCCTGCCCACGGTACAGTGATGACATTGCTTGCTTTGAAATCGTTTAGTTAATAAAAAATTCGTTAAAGTGTTACAAAATATTAAATCAATAATAACAAAAATTCCAAATTAGGGCTACCAGATGCCCATATTTGGTGGAGGATAACATCATTCAAAATTTGATGGCTCTAGGTACAGTTCTTTTATCACAATGCTACGTTATTCAAAATTAGATGGCTCTAAGTACTGTTTTTTCTTTTATCACAATGCAAGAAAAATACATACATTTATGCAGATTCTTCATTATTTAATTTTTTTAAATCTAAAACAGGATGATAATATTTGGTGGCAACAATTTGAAAAGTGAAACAGACATTTAGAGTTTACAATGCAAAATTAATAGCTCTTGTGGGCTAATGCCCCTTGGGCTAAAAAAATTACACATGGAGTTTATTTCATATAAAATTTCAATGTTTTATAGCTAAATGTTTTTGAATTATGCGAGATACATATATACATTCATACAAATGTACAGTTGTCATGAAAAAGTCACTTTTTAATCCATTTTTTAATTCGTTTTAGGAAAAAATACTTTTTTTTACTTTCTGTACCTATATACAGACGTCTCATACACACACACACAAAAAAAAGGGAGTCCAAATGCATTTTGGGAACGGTGAAAACTGATATTTCCATCGAAATAAGATACCTGAAATTTTTCATGATTACAATATTTCTTCTACTTCGTGCAAAGAAATAAAATGGAAAACAAATATTTGATAAAATATTTTAATTTAATTAATTACAGTCTTGGAAAATTATACAAGGCAGAATTAGGAATTTACAAAAAATTTAAAACACATACATATGCAGTTGTCATAATAAATATTTACGGCAGTCTTATTTTCAAAATAATACAAAATTATACAAACATATGTACTGTTAAGGATACTCTTACATAAAATAATCACATTTAGTCTTTTACAGCTATAACTGTTTATTCATAACTTCGTTCACATATCATTCACATGGCTGTTCTCAGAAATTCTTTTCATCTCATCTCTGCCGCTTTCCGCTCGGGGGCGCAGCTGCTATTAGAGCATGCTCAAACATGCCCCCCTGCATTGAAATGTTTATAAAACATTCAATCACTAAATTATATGAGACATTTCACAGTACTTTACAAATAATAACACTATAACACTTCAGTAACATGACTATGTAACATATAGTACTTTAGCCATAATACAATACATAACACAAGAAATAATTCTCATTAAAAATTAACATATACACAACGTAAAACAATATCTCTTATACACTTAATATGTAACAATTTTCATTCAGGCATAGATAAAACACAGATTTTGGAAATACACCTTTTGAATACACTTGCTTTAGTTTTAATTTTAACAACCTGAATTTTTTTATGCTGTTGTAACTCCTTAGCTTCTTTTAACGTTGGAGCTCCGCATAACACATCATCCATATAGAAATTTTCACGTAACACAGGTGCTGCCAATGGAAAATTACTCTCTTCGTCTAATGAAAGCTGTTTTAGTGTCATCATTGCTAAAAGGGAGCACTGACCATACCATACGTAATGGTTACCAGCTCATATCTCTTTGGTGGCTCATTAGCCCTATCACTCCGTAGGATTCTTTGAAGGCTGTGCTGACTTTCATCTATCAAAATCATCGTATACATTTTTTTCACATCAGCCGTTAAGGAATATACGTGAATTCGAAATCCGATCATTATCAAAAATAAATCTTTTTGTATAACTCCACCGTTATACTGGAGAGAGTTGAGTGAAATACCGTTAGTTTTTAAACTTGAACAGTTAAACACATCTTAATTTAGTACTAATTTTTTCTGGTTTATATATTCCATGATGTGTTGCATAATATGCCACTTCAGGCTCTTTCTCCTCTTTAACTTCGTTCATATGTCCTAGTTGAATATACTCATGAATGAAGTCGCGATATCGAGAGAGATAATTTGGATCTCTCGACAAGCGAGTCCACAGCGATCCAAGTTTTTTAAGAGCAATGTCCCTAGACTGACCTAAACACGAAGGATCATCTTTAAGGGGCATTTTTACCACATATCTACCTTCCTCATTTCTCCAGTGCGTTCACATAAAATGTTCCTCACATGTAGAATTTTCTTTACTTTTGCTTAATTCTAAATCTACACTTTCAATTTCCAAAACCCTTTTAATGTTTTATTTAACCTTCTAAAACCGGGCCAAAATTCTCATAATATAGCCTTCAGACCGGCGCGATCAGAAACAGTTTTGCTCCCTCTTTGCCATTTTCCTAATGAGAAAAGTCGTTATTCCCCCTCCATGGATGCAGTAAAATTTACATGTTTGTTGGACGCTTACGTCCCATAGTAGAGGGGTTGCTAGATTTGCGATTTTTTCGATGATTATTTTGCTTTCATTTAAATGAAGTTCTAAATAAATAATGCATAAATAAATATGCAGTACTGGATGCATATACAGTGCACTATTTATTTAGAACAAAATGTATGCAATGTTTATATTTCACTCACTATTTCTGGTCAATCTCGTAAATAATTTGTGAATTTTTTAACTTTGTTTTTACTCTTCATTTATATTCATGTATTTCCGTATTAGAAATTAGAAAACGAGAAAAATTTTTTACAAAATATAATAAATACGAACTAGCTTTGTAAGTCTGTAGGCTGGAATGTGATTTTTATTAACATATTTTCATTAACAAAGTAATGGTAATGACTAATTTAATGAAATAATAATAATAATATTTATTACCATTAGATGATTAGAATGAAATTCAATACAATTAGATTTTGAGATGAACTTACGGCAATAATAAAGCTTTACATAACAATAACAGAGCTTTAAATCTGCTTTTTTCGATAATTTTGTTATTATAATATAAAAAAGAAAATCCGAGATACATTGGTTGCGTTTCACCATTTAACTTTAACAAATATTACGTTGGACTATCAGGCATAGGAGGTATAACTTTAACCAGAATTTTTTTTTGTAAAATTGGTTTTTGTTTATGTTAGCAGAGGAAAAAAATCTGTGACCTATACATGCAATCATTAAAAGTATTTTTCAGAACAGTTTTAAATGTTTATGAAGAATTAATTATATGTCAATTTCTTTTCATAGGTAGAAATTTCGTCTAAAACCATCGTTATATCCAAAGGTTGAAGTCTATTTCATTTTCAAAGAATATTCTATTTGCACATAATATATTTTCTAATTTATTTTAGAAAGAGTAATCTTTCACGTTTTCAAAAGAATAAGGACATACTGGATGTTGACACTTACAATGTAGTAAATCTGTTTTTCATATTTCTTCCAATAATGAAAACAATTACCCTGGAATATTTTCAAAGCAAAATTAAGAAAACCGTTTACGGCAAATTTTGCATAAAGTATCATCTCGTGCATTTTTTTATTTCAAGTGTGAAATTTTCTCTTTGAAAATATAAAAAATCATGAACGGAGCAAAATTAATTCATGAGAATTAACTTTGAAATGCAATAATCCCATCGTAATATGAAATAGTGGGAAAAAGTGCAATACAGTTTATTTATTCACAAATAATCCCCTCATATGCATAATTTATGTACTGTCGATTGAGAAATATAGGTTAGTAAATTAAACCGGTTATTTCAATACTTTTTCTTTATCAATTTTTTTACGGGCTCTTCAGTAGAGCGATAAAGGTGGCTGAACACTTGTAGCTCGCTCGGGTTTGAATCCCGGCTAAAAGGTTGGATTCACGGTTTTTGTGTAACGTAAATGCAATTCAGTAAGCGTACAAAATTAATCCAACTAAACCCGAAGAACGGGTTGATTACATGTGGAGTTTTTCACCAGTGACGTAAATGCAAGCAATTTTCTCTTAAAAAGGTCACGAAAGCATCCATCCCCTTAAGCAGATAGCGTTCGCGTGCTTTTCTGTAATCCAATCCTAATTCTCATACATTTAATAGTAAGTTGACATACACCTCATTACAGACAAAATAACAACCTTTTTTAAAGATATTTTTTTTTATTAACTTGTCTGAATTCCCTTTATCTCTTGAGGAGTATAAGAATTTTAGCAAATAAAACTGGCCGAAATTTAATACAATGTAAATGATGTTTTGATTCAATTCAGAAGTAACGTGAACTTTACTGATATTTAAATACTTTTTGGCAGATCTCAACCTAAAAGAGGGTCTAAAGATAAATTGATTTTATTTAATTTACAATCAATGAAAATCATTGAATGAATGAAAATCACAAAAACTATTATGCATACAATTGTCTCTTATTTATCTCCTGATAAATCACACAAAATTGCCTGCATAATAGAAGCACTTTGAAAGACTTAATAGTCCTTAAGGGTTTTATGCACTCTCCCCCCCAAAAAAAATGTCAAAATAAAATCTTATTATTCATAAGTATAAAAAGGAAGTAAACGATAAACGCGGTTTTAGCTATTTTCTAGAAGGGCATTAAATCTAAAAAAGGAATCTATTCTTATTTGCTATGATTAAAAAGCATTAAATCTGGTAAGCTTAAACAGCGTGCAAAATCGCCGACATTTTAATCATAGCAAAAGTCAGTACTAAAAAAATTAGAGATGGCCTCTATTTGATTTTCAAGTATATTGGTGCGAGACGAAACCTGTGGTTTTTGCCAAAATATAGCCAAACTGATAAGAAGAGGGAAATAATGCGTAGCCAGCGGCTATTTTGAGCAGAGACAATGGACCACCCCGAGATCTACAGATAGGCGATTTTCTAAAATAGGGAGGGAATGCTGGTACTACAGTTGTACAATAGCTGGCGTTAGAAAAAGTCATTTTCCTGGTACAACTGCTGTACCAGCTGGCTTCAGAACGTTAAATCCTCTTCGCGTATCAATCCACAATGCATCTTAGACTCATTTCCCTGATCTACACTTCCACTGGCGACATAGCCAAATACTGTATTTTATAAAAGCAATTTTGAATTTTGTGCATAAATCTGTCCCGGTCTCAATAATTCATAAAATATCTCTGCACCTAACAACATATCAATGTTCCCTGGAATACTAAAACTGTAATCAGCTAATGGTACTAAGTCTGAAACCTCAATATTTACATTAAGTACCTGATGTGGTATAAGATCTGTAATTTTTTTTACTACAAGCAAATTTATCTCTTTCTCAAAACTCCTATTTTTATTTGTGATTGTTGTCGTAACGTGACCCTTCACTACCATTGACGAATCATTTAAGCACGAGATTAATGTATTTATTTTTTCGCTTTTTAATCCTAAGCGCTTCATACATTGTTCACTTAATAAACATGTCTGAGAGCTTGAGTCCAATATACATCTCACCTCTTCCCAAATAAAACAGTTATTTTTAATTAATGCTCGAACTGTACTCAGTAGAACATTCTTTGCGTTAGCTTTCGCAAAACGAGAGGCGACGACAGATTTATTAACGTTTGACTCATGCGTGAGGGGAAAAACTGCACCTTCACCAATTTGATTTCCGGTCTGCAGTTCAAGGACATTCGATGAAGTGTTGCAATCGGGCTTATTTTTATTTTGTCTTGAAAAATGAATTAATTTATTATGTGGTTTGGCACAGAAGCAATCTCTCGCTGAGCAGTTTCTTGTATTACATTCAGGAGACAAACATTTGAAACATGCCTTATTCATTTTAACAACTTCTACTCTTTCAGGAACCGAAAGTTTTTTAAATTGCGGACAAAAGTTTAAAGCGTGGACTTCATTATTTTTACACAAATTACATTTAACACCTTTTTCTTCCGATAAAAATACTTTCGAGACCTTTTTTTGAAAACGCAAGTTCTGAAACTTTTGCTGTTTGTGACCTTCATGCCGTTTAATTTCGTTTCCATTAGAAGGTTTCGTAAATACATTATATTCACTTTTACCCTTTGAAGTTAAATAAATGTCGCACTCTCGTCCTAGCTGTTGTGGGTTGAAATACGATTCTCCTTGTTTAATTGCAATATGTGTCATCAATTCACGATCAAGTAAACCGAATATTTTACCTGATACAATTAATTCACATAATGATTTAAAATAACTCACTTTATGCAGCTGACAATAATACTCAAATGTAGCACTTAATCTTGAAGCAAATTGTACATAACTCTCTGAATGTAATTTTTGCGCTCTTTGAAAACTGTTTAAACACTCTTGTGGCGTCGGTTGAAATTCCTTCAGCACTATTGTCTTAAGCTTATCATAACTGCGCAAGTCTCCCTCAGTCAAATAAACCATTAAATTATTCACTCTTTCACCCAGAATATTTAAAAGAATTTCCGATTTTAGCTCAGCACACCTTTTGGTTTTAAACGCTTTTTCAAGGGACTGGAAAAAAAGATTAAATGACTCTACTCTTGTAGGCACTGGGATACACAGCGTTTTAATACTTTTAATTAAATTTTCTAAACTGTCCTTTGACGGTTCTGCTGTCAAGCACGACATATTTGAGACAACTCCTTTCGCATATTCGCAATTTCAAGTTCTTTCTCCAATTGCGCTAGTTTGATTTTCTCTAACTCTAGCTTTGTTTCGTTTTCGAGTTTTTGTAACGCAATTTTTGACTCGGTTTCAGCTTTATGTTTCTTTGCTTCCTCAAGCGCATGATCAGCTACGCTTTTAACTAACTCAGGATTGGTTTTAAAAACCTTACTATTCTCTATCAAATTTTTTAAATCAACAATTTTCGTGTCTTCTGCAACGGTTAGACCTAACTCTGCAGCGACGAGCTTTAACTCCTCTTTCCTTAATTTAGCAATCAAAGACATCCTTTACCTATAAGTAAAGCTAAATAAGGTAATTGCTCTTACCTCAAATCACTGGGATCATTCACTCGATAAATGGACTCGATGGAAATCACTGTCACTCATACGCACTTCGTAATTCAACAATTTTTCACATCATCCACAGGTCTCTGGCTTCTTCATGATGGACCATGTTAAGGACACTCTTACACAAAATAATCACATTTACTCTTTTACAGCTATAACTGTTTATTCATAACTACGTTCACATATGATTCAAATGGCGGTTGTCAGCCATTCTTTTCATCTCATCTCTGCCGCTCTCCGCTCGGGGGCGCTGCTGCTATTAGAGCATGCGCAAACATGTACAATTATAAATAAAATATTTTACATGAGTGAATGACAATTGGCTGTTAACTATTCATTTATATTCAAGAAATGTATATCAACACATTCTGTGCATCTATACATATTTATTATGTATTTCATGGATGTATGTGATAACTCATTCATCTATGAAAATACCACACTGGTCTAGTGGTTAGCAGAGACCGATAGCTTGTCTGAATTCCAGTGTGTGAGTTCAGTACAGCATAAGGCTTGATTATTCGTGTGCATCTCCCCCATCTTGTGGGTATGATATCAGTCGCCTCCTAGAAAAAGCTCCCGGTGAAAAGATGATTTGTTTATTATGATTCTATGTGTAATAAATACAATAATGATTCATTTTCTACTTGCATTTTAACGGTTTTCAACTTTGTTAATTAAGTTCTGACAATAAAAATAATCTAACAATATCCTGCCTTAAGTATGTTATCATAACACCTAAAATACTATTTATAAATATTGCATCATCTTATATTTAATAAATAAAAAAATATGAAATAATATTGCACAAATCTAAAGTACAAATACGGAAATTTTATCAGTATCACAGTGCCATGTTGTGCAACCAAATAGTAATTGTACATGCAGCAAATGTAGAGAAAAAATAATTAAAAGGATATAATGCCAAAAAGCAAATTACAAGTGAATTTTACAGAGAAGAAACATACCTTGTTAATGACAAAAAATTACTAAGCATCGCGCAAACCATATAAGCCTTTCAACATATATGTATGTTTAGCAGTTACACAGCAGTTTTAAAGTGTACTTTTTTACACTCCACAATGAATGCTAATATTATTATTCAGTAAAAAAATATATTATTTTATGAAATAATTTGCTTTAAAATATGTACAATTTAAAAAACATTAGATATAATTATAGGTCATAAATTTTCCAATTCCAGATCACTACTTGATGTAACTACAGGACTTGTAATTTTGCTCATCTGTTGGCCTTTAACCCTATTTTTCTGAAATCGTCGGCGAGGCCGATGTGGTTTTTTAGGTAATTTTTCTGCTGAACTGCCATTTTCTGGTTTTAATAATCCATGTTTCTCCATGGAATCCTATAATAATGAACATTAAGCACATATATATAAATGCAAAAATGTAATATATATGTATATATATATATATATATATATATATATAATAATAAAATTCCATAGTCAAGAATACACTTAAAATTCTAACTGTATGTTCTTGACATTTTTAATGGCGACGTTCTCTTATTTGAAAGTACGAGGAATTAAATCCACAGCCCCGTAGTCAAGTTGTTTTTCCCGCCTTTTCTACACGTACAGTTATAGAATGTTCTGGAAATATTTAAAGCAAACTGGATTGGCTGACGAGGCTGATGTCATTTCTTGGAAGCTCCGCCTTTCCAGAGGATATAAAAGGACTCGCAAAGGAATATCGGGGCTTTTTCTTAAATGTAACGACGCAGTAAACTTCATACAAAAAGTTATTAGTAATTCTTTTTATTTACTCCGGAAATATGATTTTGTAACTGCTATTTCTCCTGATATAATAAATGGATCCTGTTTTTTAAACTTATCGTCTGATAATTTAAGCTATGACTACATCTATGATTCTTCACCAATCTATTTATTCCGGACAAAAGCTGGTACATCACATATATATTATATTTTTCGTATTGTATTTGCACTCCAAATATAATGCAAACAAATTGTTAATTAAAAAAAATAGGATTATTTTAAAGTTAAGAAATAAGATATATATTCTAGATTGACACGCTGGAACCACATTTAAACATAAATAAAAGAAAAGGATCTATCGCATCCAACAGATCTGCTTCATTGGAGCTGGGATGAATGTTTTCATAATGTTTCAAGTGTTTTATTGGTTTCTGCAGAGCTGTTGTACTCAGAATTGACATCCAAATGTACAGAAGAGTGAAGGGAAGACGTCTGTTGCAACATGACCTCTTTCTTAGTGCTTGTTTTCAAGTGCTTCTCTAATTTTGAGGATACTGGAATTTTTGTCAGATTTTGGTCTTATTTTCATTCAATTACAGAATATAGCAACTTATTTGTTTAGTTCTACAGGATGGGATCAAACATGGAAAACTTTCAAAAATAGGAAGATAAATTTAAATGTGGTTTCAGTATGTCATCCTAGAGCACCAGTTCTCAAACTGTGGTACATGTACGCCACAAAAAAAAGGGGGAGACAATTCTATATATCCCATTCCACTAGGCTGATTGCCTTTCCCATGTTCTGAAAGCGCGACTTAGGATATATATTAGATTTATATATAGCATTGTACTAACACAGGTATTTTGACATAAAATCAGACTTTTTCTGAAATAACATATCAGTTATTTTCCATATTTCTATTCTACAACTAAAATTATGCTTAGGTATTAAATTTTGTAATTTTTGGAGAGAAATTTATCAAGAAATTAAAAAATTTATCTTAGCGCACATTTTCAGTTTGTACCAAGAATAATTAATTCACTTGGCAAACTTCTTAATTTATGGCAACCTATTTTCTTTCCTTTTTTCTTCATTGTCCATGAGCGGAAAAAAAAGTCATCATTTATACTTTTGAATAATTTTAACAAAGCACGTAAACCACATTCTCATTATTATCGCTTATAATAAATACACCAAATTTCAAAATGTAAATTCACGTATATTTTAGGAAATTTTGAATAAAAAACTATAATTTTTTGCTGGTATGCTTAGAAATATATCTACTTTAAGACAATGGCAAAACTTTTATATATTATAGTTAAATATGTTTTTCAAATATTTTTTTTTAATTATTTAAAAATACAAACTTTTAAAATAAATCATAAAAATTAAGCAAATTTTATTTGGAATGAACCTACATTTTGAAATATGAAAGGAAGAATCAAATAAGTTTAATAAAAAAAGAGAGATTAATAAATACCGTATTTGACGGCATATAAGACGCACTTTTTTCCCTAAATTTGGTCTAAAAAAAGTTACCTGCATCTTATACGTGAAGGACACAGGTTAACTTTCAATACTGAATGCTATTTTTAGCCCGGATAAAGGTCTAGACACACACAACTTCTTCTACATTTGCCATAATTATTTTGCGCATGTGTGAAATAGCTGTCGCCAAAAAGCGCCAAAGCTCGAAGCTGATGTCGAAGTTCGAACAGGTTCGACGATCACATTACGTCTATGGAGCCTTTCCTTCTTCACATAGACTTTCTTTGACTCAGCAGACACACGTGTCGGTATCGGTGCTACTCTGTATAAACGTTTCGGTATCAGTGCTTAAAACAAAACTATTTGTTTAAAAAAATACCCTGGAAAATATGACTACAGGAAACAAGAGATTAAGATATACAATTCAGTATAAACTAGGAGAGTTAAACTATGCCAAAGTGCATGGAAACAGAGCAGCAGCAAGGTATTTCGGTCCACCACCTACCAGAAAAATGATGTACAGTCAAAAGTCGTTAATTCGGACACCCATAATACGGAATGATCTATAATCCGGACCTCAAAGCTACAAACTTGTTCACGCATGCGCACAGACGTTTACGAGAGCGCATAAGACCCTTACGGCTGCGAATATGTTTGTGCGCATGCGCGTTTAATGTGTAACAGAGTTATACGCTAAGCTAAAGTTATCTAATTCAGTTAATGTTGCAGATTGCGTTGTTCCTTAATCTTCGAATTGGATCCTGCTTATTATTTTTTGCAGACTGTTAGAGCAATTTTATAAAAGTAAGCTTGAACTTTCGATTATGTCAAATAGAATTTCCGATATATATTTACTACAAAGCGAAAGTATGTCTTGAAATCCGAAATCTGTTTATCAATTTCACGCTGCTCTGCGGCAGGGGGGGGGCAGAAACATCATTATTAGATTATGATAGATTAGAAAGGTTATGTCAAATAGAATTTCCGATATATATTTACTAATATGTAATTTGTATCTACAAAGCGAAAGTATGTTTTGAAATCCGAAATCTGTTTATCAATTTCCCACTGCGGATTGGAAGTTGATCTGTCAGCACTATCCTTATCTTCAGAGCAGATGTTTTTATTTTATTTGGTTTATAATTCCGTACTAAGTGTAGTATTTCATCTCGATATACTCCATCTTTGATATGATTTAAATCAAGTTCCTCGTCATTATAATTCGCTTCGGATAGTGAAGAAAGTGACCCAGAGGTTATTGAAAACGAAAACATTTCGATTGACAAATTAGTCGGTATTCTCGACACAGCAATTATAGGACTTGAACAGCGGAACTTTGTAACTAAACAAGAAATTATGTCTGTTTAATAGAATTAAAGAGAAAGTATTATCAAATGAAACGAAGCAACTTACATTGAAGGAAATGTTTAATAAAGTAAACAAATAAATATTAAGCTTTTTCTTTTTGTAAATTTTGATACCCTTTAGATCATAATTGTTCTTTATTTCATAAATCGGTTTCATATTTTTAATTTTGTAATTTCTGCATGCCATCTTACCAGATTTAAACTGATGATCTATAATCCAGAAAAATCGATTATCCGGAATCGCCGAAGTCTCGACGAGTCCGGATTAACGACTTTTGACTGTACTTGGTGACTGCAAGAAGATCAGCTGAAGACTGCTAAAAAACAAAAACATAACCTTCGATGCCCAGCTCCATCTTGGCCTGAACTTGAAAATGCCGTAAAAATGTGGGTGATAGATAAGAGGAAATTTGGGATAAGTGTTTCAACCAAAATGATAATCAATGAGGCCAAAGGATTTGCAGAAAAACATGGGAATCGGAACTTTTCAGGGTCTGAGGGCTGGTGCTATAGGTTCATGAAAAGGCAAGGCTTATCAATGCGCACAAAAACAACTATTGCATAGAAAATGCCAGCAGATTATGAAGAAATAATACTAGCATTTCATAGGTTTATTACAAATGCACGCAAGAAAACTTCTTTTTGAGCTCGGTCAAATAGGAAATATGGATGAAATTCCACTCATATTTGATGTACCATCCCACAAGACTGCGAGTATTAAAGGGTCTAAATCAATAACCATAAAAACCACAGGTCATGAAAAAACCCGATGTATGGTAGTTCTAGCATGTTGTGCTGATGGCACAAAACTACCGCCGTTTTTCATATTCAAAAGAAAAACTTCCAACGGGCGTAATTGACGTTTGTTAATTTTCCTTAATAAAAATATGTTTGGTAATTGCATTCAGAGCCCACCAGCGGCCGAGCAGTAACGTCGCTGAACACTGGTAGTTCGGTTCGAGGTTCGAATCCCGTGAAGGGACTGGCTGCATGGGTGTTTTCGTGGTTTTCCCCATGTGTAACGTGTATACGAGCCAATTTCCCTTAAAAAGTCCTCCACGAAGGCATCCCTCCCTTAAGGCAGATAGCCCTCGAGTGCTTTGCCATAATCTAATAAACCAAACCAAACCTAATTGCATTCAATGATTGTTTATTTGGCTTTTATTAAACATGAGAACTAAAAGAAACCACATTACTATTGAAACATTTTTTCCTTGTGTGTGGCCTTCTAAATAAGGGTGCATCTTATATGCCATCAAATACGGTATATACCAAATTCCCGTTAACATTGAGGAGTTAAAATTTTGTGAGCTAATTTTAAAAACTACTGGTGTGATTTTTACAAAACTTGGCAGTTTGGCATGATTTGAGTCCTAGAATCGAAATATGGGGGAAAAAAAAAAAAAAAAATTTGGCATGTCATTTCAGAAAAAGTTTGATTTTATGTCAAAATATATATATTAGAACAATGCTGTATATAAATCTAATACATATTCTAAGATGGGCTTTTGTAACATGAAAAACGCATTTTGAATTTCGTCAATCGGGCCAGTTGAACGGGAGATATAGAACTGTCCTTTTTTGTGTTTGCACTGTACCACTGGTAGTACATTACAATATTTTTAGTGGTATAATTTTTACAGAAAAAAATTAAATGAATGTTAAATTGCACCCCTTTTAACATTTTGTTTTAATATTTACTATTCAGAAACCCATATATTTTTGAAGTTTTTGACTTTTACAACTCTAGCTTTAATGTTAAAATGACGACTTTTCCAAAAGCTTTGAAGAATTTCCCGACGTTACGATTTCCAAGAATCGTAGTGACATTCCAATATACTCATAGTATACATATACAGTCAAAAGTCGTTAATTCGGACACCCATAATCCGGACCTCAAAGCTAAAAACTTTCTACGCATGCGCATAGGTGTTTAGCACGTAAGACCTTTACGGCTGCGAACATACATGTGCGCATGCGCATAATACATTTAGGTATGCAAGTTTAATGTATAACGGACGGTATAAGCTAAAACTATTTAATTATCTACTTCAGTTAATATTCAGTTAATATTGCAGATTGTGTTGTTCCTTAATCTTCGAATTGGATCCGGCTTATTTTTTTTTTGCAGACTATGAGAGCAATTTTATAAAAGTAAGCTTGAACTTCCGATTATGTCAAATAGAATTTCCGATATATATTTACTAATGTGTAAAGGATCTACAAAGCGAAAGTATGTTTCAAAGTCCATTAAACAGAAAGTGGAATTGCTGAAAAAAATGGATAAAGGCATATCCTTTGATTATCTAATCATTCCGAAATATGTTTATCAATTTCACGCTGCTCTGCGGGGGGAGGAAAACAACACGGATGAATGGAAGAATGAATTGGAAGTTGATCTGTCAGCACTATCCTTATCTTCAGGGCAGATGTTTTTATTTTATTTGGCTTATAATTCTTTACTAAATGTAGTATTTCATCTCGATGTACTCAGTCTTTGATATGATTTAAATCAAGTTCCTCGTCATTATAATTCGCTTCCGATAGTGAAGAAAGTGACCCAGAGGTTATTGAAAACGAAAACATTTCGATTGACAAATTAGTCGGTATTCTCGGCACAGCAATTATAGGACTTGAACAGCGGAACATTGTAACTAAACAAGAAATTATGTCTGTTTAATAGAATTAAAGAGAAAGTATTATCACATGAAACGAAGCAAATTAAACAACTTACATTGAAAGAAATGTTTAGTAAAATAAACAAAATAAATATTTAGCTTTTTCTTTTTGTAAATTTTGATACCCTTTAGATCATAATTGCTCTTTATTTCATATTTTTAATTTTATTATTTCTGCATGCCATCTTACCATATTTAAACTGATGATCCGGAAAAATCGATAATCCGGAATCGCCGAAGTCCCGACAAGTCCGGATTAACGACTTTTGACTGTATTTATATTTTAATGTAAAAAGTTTCATTTATGAATATAATTAAATAATATAAATTTAAAGGGTTCTATTCTCTGATTACGTACACTCCATTTAGGATGCATTAATTTTCATTGGCGAAATGCTTTTATGGTGGTACATAAATGTTTATTTCAAACTTATGTGGTACAAAATTTTAAAAGTTTGAGAACACCTCACCTACAGTATTTTATCTCATTTTTAACTGTAACCATGTGTAGCAGTTAATTTTTAAATAGAGGTTTTCTTCAGACTTTAAAATAAATAATATTTTAACATTTAAAGTCTCTAAATTCAAAGTCTCTCGACATATCCCCAAAATTATTGATACCAGATTGAAAACTTAAGCCATTTCTTTAAATAATTAAAAAATCTATTTTATTGATAAGTCTCGCAACAATTTCAGATAGGATTTTTTTTAAAACTATGGTAATAAAAATCCAGCTTCAGTAGTATGTTTGAAAGATTAAACACATGAAAAATGTTACACAAATGTTAGCACTGCTCAAATTCAGTTTTATGAAAAATTGTACACAAATGTTAGTACTGTTCAAATCCAGTTTTATGGAATTTAAAAAATTTTGGCTGACAAAGAAAATTGATAGGGTAATTTAATAACATTAAAAACAACCCTAAAAGTATCAAAATTTCTCTCCCTTTCTTTCTTCCCTTTACGAAGCAAAGGAAGTATTATAACTTCAAAAAATTTTGGATATTATATTTTAACAAAAATACCCAATTTTTTGGGGGTGTCTTCTGAATAATCATGCAAAAAGGGAGACAAAAAGGCACACAAAAAAATCTAGACAGAATAAAGGCATCTTTTGTCCAAAATGAATTCTAAAACGAATTTTTCCATGACATCTGTGTGTATATATATATTTTGTATAATTCAAAAACGATTAGCCATTGAACATCTAAATTGTGTATATGGGACTGCTATAACATCTAGTTATGCCCTCCCTTTTTTATTGAAATTAGCAGAACCAAACTTGTGTATATATACCCTTCACCAGCTTAAAAGTCTTTACTCAGCTTCATTTTCGCAGTCAATGGCCATAGACATATACTTCCAATTACAAAAGTGTTTTAATTAACTAAAATATTCATATTTCAGCAATGTAAAATTAAAAAAATTGATAAATACTAAAATCTAACTTTTAATGCAGTCTCCTGGTTCCTATACTTATATTTGGGAAAGTTTTATACTCATTATGAGAAAAACAAAAATACAGTAGATTTGACCCCCTTATGACAAAAATGAACCATAATTCATTTCAAAATTTGCTATTTTTGATGTCATTTTTAACTTGCTAGGTGGAATCGGTTAATTAAATTAGAATAATTCAAGGAAATAAATTTAAATGAAGTGCAGCAAAAAATGTGGACAGTTTAATAGGCCATACAAGGACGCCTTAGATACGATGCAAAACTTGGCTGTAAAAAGTACAAACAGCACAACTGTGGTTCACAAAGACCATAATGATTTTTTAGCAGTCTATTATTTTTTATGATTTATTATTAAATAATTCAGGGTAAGGTAGAGAAAAAGACAATATATATATATAACTGCAGAAAAAATTATTAGGAACATTTTAAAGATAATACTGATTTTCAAAATAAAATTATCTGCTAAAATTAAAAATATATCAGGTGTATAATGAAATCATACCTCAAATGGAAATGTTAACAATGGGATATTTTGTATTTCTGTCAGCAGTTTATCAGAGAGTGAAATACTTGGGCCTGTAGCAATCACACGCCTGTATTCTTCTAGTCGTTTTTGCAATTCTTTAAGTCTATTTTTTACTTGTATGTGAGCATCAAGAGGAACATTTTTTCTAGTAAGAATAAATAACTTAATTAAAGAATATATCAAATACCCTACAAATAAATAATATGAATAAAATGAGAGGGAAAGTAGAAAAGTAATGCTTTGTTGTTATTTCTAGTTTTATGGCAAACCATATGCATAAGCATTTATCAATGCTGAATAAAAAAATTATGAATTACTAAACAACTTTAATACATACACTTACTATCAAATTTACAAATATCATAAAATGTGATTTTTAAAAAAAATTTACTTAAATATACTTCTATCATTTATTACATCAATCATTCCCTGACAATAAAAGGAAAAGAAATCAGAAAATAGACACTGAACTTCACTTGTTAAAAGCAAAAGAGATTTAAATAGTTAAAAGTTTCATTTTGTAGAAGAAACTTTAAAAATGTTACATGCTTCTAAAACTCAGGTACTCTTAAATACCTTAAATAACTTAGGATACTAGACTTAGAGCACTTATTATAGCAGACTTATCATACTAGACTGACTCACTGGACTGAAAATATTTTCAATATTGCTTGGAACTATAAATGAACGTAATAAGAATGAAGCAACTTATAGCAAAATAGCCTTTCCAAATATAAGTATAGAAAATACTTATAGCAAACATTTCCCTCCCCCCAAAAAAGATATAATGAATGAAATTTTCAGTTTCATTCAATATCTTCTATTGATAATACTTTTTTATATACCCACAATGAATCCCTAGATACATGAAAATCAGATGAAAAAATTTTTTGATGTCTTCGATTAAGTAATTTTTTTCCCTTAAATGCTTTCTGAATTAATGAATATTTTAACAAAATTACCAATTCATAAAATAATTCATGTTTATACTACTCAGATAACAAACGATGCGTTAATTGTTATTGCAGCTATTCGTTCATCTTCACTTTTTATTTTGTGTTACAAACTGAATTCATTCAAGATAAGTGCAACATGTGGAATCACTACGCATATCTTAGGAAGCAAAAATGAATTCTCATCAGTGGACAAAATAGATTAATGACAAAATGATCTTAAAGACTATCTTTTTGTGCTTTAATGCCAAGTTGGACGAGTTTAAATACAGTCAAAAGTCGTTAATTCGGACACCCATAATAATCCGGACCTCAAATCTAAAAACTTTCTGCGCATGCGCCGCGTTGACACATGCGCATAGGCGTTTATGCGTGTGCGTAAGACCTCTTACGACTGCGCATTTGCGTGTGCACAAGCGCAGAATACGTTTTCGCATGCGCGTTTTATGTATCACGGACGGTATAAGCTAAAATTATCTAATTATTTACTTCAATTAATGTTGATGATTGATGATTGCGTTGTTCCTTAATTTTCGAATTGGATCCCACTTATTATCGTTTGCAGACTGTAAGAGCAATACTATAAAAGTAAACTTGAACTTTCGATTATGTCAAATAGAATTTCCGATTCTGGAGCTCCCAAAGGATCGTACAAAACGAAAGTATGTTTCGATGTCCATCAAAGAAAAAGTGGAATTGCTGCAAAAAATGGATAAAGACATGAAGAATGTGACAGAGAGGTTAGTGAAAACGAAAAAATTTCGATTGACAAGTTAGTCGGTATTCTCGGCACAGCAATTAACGGGACTTGAACAGCGGAACTTTGTAACTGAACAAAAAATTATGTCTGTTTATATAGAATTAAAGAGAAAGTATTATCACATAAAACGAAGCAACTTAAACAACTTACATTGAAAGAAATGTTTAATAAAGTAAACAAATAAATATTAAGCTATTTTTTTTTTTTTTTTTTGTAAATTTTGATACCCTTTAGATCATAATTGTTCTTTATTTCATAAATTACGGTTTCATATTTTTAATTTTAGAATTTCTGCATGCCATCTTACGCGATTTAAACTGATGATCTATAATCCGGAATCGCCGAAGTCCCGACGAGTCCGAATTAACGACTTTTGACTGTAGAAGAAGATTTTTTAAGAAGAATTATCAGTGAAGCTGAGAGTTTCAGCACCTTATGTTGCTACACAGAGAAAATTGTATTTGGCTGATGTTTTGTGTTCATTGCAATAAAAGATACATGTATAGTTTCGATCCTAATAAAGCTGGGATATTTGAAAAGATGATGTCAAACTAAACCTTGGATTTTAAAGGTAAAAAGCACACTACTGGAAAAATCTCAAAAATAAAAAGTGCAGTTCTTTTATGTGGCTACATACAGATATTTACAACATTTTCTAATCTGTTTATAATTTTGTTGGTCTTGCATTAAGAAAATAGATAATGTATTATTCTAGCCTGCTTTTGGGGATGAAAAATATCAAAAGATGATACACTTTAAAAATGAGAGTCTTCCCAATTCCTATAAAAATCAACAATATGACATGAGTGACACTGGAAATCCTAAAAGAGCTATGAAGGAGAAATAAAGAACTTTTTTGCAAGAAGTGAAGAATTTTACATTTGATAAATAGCCTTAATTAATGCACATATAAAAGTAAGTGAGTGAGCGCCACCAAGGAAAATCACCGACCTGGAATTGGCCTCACAGACTTGGCCCGACTGGCAGAAACCATCTATTATCTGCTCCACCAAGCCTTGGGAATGCAGCCAAATAGATGGCTAAGAGCTTTGCAAAGTTCACAAGTATGCTTGGATGTTGTTCAGGGAAAGAGTAGTCTGTTAGGAACTACTTAAATTTAAGAAAAGAAGCAATCAAATTGCTATGAATCACTGCTAGAATAAAACAGAATCTTGTGTTAGATAAAGTAAAGAAAGGAGGACTCTGCCTGAAAAATTAACTGCCATAGACTGTCTGGACTTGCCAAATGTTTACATGTGGATGCTATTCCCGACACAACTGTTATATAGTAGTTATTGTTTGTTTGTAATATTGTTGGTCTTGCATGAAGGAAAGACTTCTTTTTCCAGTGCTGCCATTGCTCACTTTGGAATCGTTGAGTTTGTTGATCAAAAATTCGTCAAAGTATTACAAAATATGAAATCAATAATAAAACAAATTCAAAATTTGGGCTTCCAGATGCCCATATTCGGTGAAGGATTAATGTTATACAAAATTCGATAGCTCTAGATACCATTGTTTTATCACAATGCGGGAAATATACATACATTTATGTAGATTCTTCATTATTTAATTTCTTTAAACATAACACAGGACAATAACATTTTGTGGCAACAATTTGAAAAGTGAAATTGATATTTAAAGTTTTCGACACAAAATGCCAAAACGAAATTAATAGCCCTTCTCAGCTAACACCCTTTGGACTAAAAATAAATAAATAAATAAAAATCCTACCACCCAAATGTAATTAAACACAGAAGATTACTTTCTATATGCCTGACTCATATGTGTAACATTTCTATGACTGTGTACCTGTTATCACTAAGATAAGAAACTTGTGCATAAAATTTAGTTCTTTGTGCAAACTTAACAGAAATTCTTTTACAAATTGTACCTATATTTTCTTTCATTATACTTACAGACAGGATAATACATATAATAATATAATACTTAATATTCAGTTTTATACTTAAGTATAAAACTGAATATTAAGGTAAAAAAATCAAACATGATACTAAGCACAGAAATACACAAAGCTGATAGTTTCAAGAGATTAAATTTGTTTTCCTTCCCTCCAATGCAAATTCTGTCATGCTACCAAAAAAAAAAAAAAAAAAAAAAAAAAAAAAAAAAAAGCTTAATCTGTCATAATTGAAGGTGGAAGGGGAAAATGCATTTAATATATTTAAAAGAGGTACACCAAAGATGTTGATTGTATTAACCATCATCTGAAACTGCTTTCAGCATACCAATCTAGCAAATAGTATTAAAAAGGAAGATGATGAAATAAGGATTTATCTAACACAAAATAGCTAAAAAAAGAAAATATTTTTACATTTTCAGAATGTGATGACAATGCTGCAGAATATACAGATTTCAATGTTAACTTATTGTGACAAAAATTAAAATGAAAAATACAAAGAAGCTTCTTCATTTGATATGAAGAACCTGGCAATACACTAAAAATGAAATTCTAAATAGTGCAGATGCCAAAGCAGTGATGCATAGTTTTTTTATCCACACAAAATTAGGATCTGAAAATAATGCAATTCTTTTAATCTTTAGACAAAGTATTCCTGCAATGTGCATTATGCCAGTAGATTACAAGCCATTTTTGTAGAAAGATTTTAAGAGAAAATTAAAGATAAATTCATCAGTCAGATTAATATTTTCATGCATAAAATGATCATTCATAATTATAAATATGTATTTCAGAAATAGATGCAGATTTCAAAAGAAAGGTCTAACCTATAATGTTTATGCTAAGTAATTTATTGTCTTTTATTATTATTAAATATTGAAACTGAAAAGAATTTCAAAAATTTAATGTCAACACATAATAATAATTGTGATTAACCCCTCATAACTAATTGTGATTAACACCTCATAACTTATTTTTTCAAAATTAAAATAATTTTTCTTATCAAGTACCAATCAGTCCTTTTCTACTTTTAAATGATTTATTTGCAGGATCATTTATTCCTTATCGGACTGGATATTTTTAAAAATTTGGTTATCTGAAAGCTTCTTATTATGACAGACTATTTTAGTATCTTGGAAAGTATTACAAAATTCATCAAAAATAAATAAATAAATATAGATTTGCAACAGAGAAAATACTTTAACTGAATAAAGCTGATCAAAATTTAAGGAAGAAGGATCAAAATTTAGGAAGAAGATAAAAGTAATTCAACTTTTTGTCTTTTTAAAAGCATAAATATGTAGGTAACTGAAATTTTTGGAGGCAAACAGATAATATATGCTAAAAGAAAATTATTTGTTTGATGTGTAAATTTGAACTCTTTTTATGTCTGTAGATGATAATTTGCGGCAACAATTGCAATTTATCTAACACAGAATAAATTATGAAAGAAAAGGAAACAAAGTGATGTAAAAGCATTATTGTGCTATGATTTTTCTATGATTTCTAGAGTGACACTAATAGATACACTACATACTTATTCCACACACATATCAAATATACTTACTCCAACTCCTCATTTTGTAATTCCAGTTCTTCATTACGGGTTTTCTGATCTTCAAGTTTTTTCCTAAGCTTTGAAATAAAGGTAGAATATTGCTTCATTTTCTGAAAAATATAATACTGAATATTAATGGAAATTTATTTTACACAGATAAGAAGATAAAACAACATAAACCTAATAAATGTCTATGTACATTTACAGAGCACAATAAAAAGTTCCCCAGTATGATACACATAAAATGTATACAAAATTAGAAAAAAGAAATGATCTACATTTATTTGCATTAGTTTTTTGTTATTTTGATTTAATATGCATTTATTCTGAATTTTATATTCTTGTAAATTCAGTCATATTTCTTCGACTTTCCTTATATTTTTAATTTGAATGTGATTTTTCTGCATTTATATGCATAGCCTTTTTTTAATTAATGTTTATTTTGTGAAAAACCCAACACACCATTTTTCAAAGCTTGTAAATAGCATCTATATGACTGGAAATATCAGACCTTGAAACTAATGGCCTCAGTGACAAATTTAACAAAGTGAGATACTTCAAAGTTTCTAGAAATATTCAGTTTGGAATGAATGCATGGCTAACAAGAACCAAAGTTATAGAAAGATTCTAGAAATTTCTTTTTCATGAGAAATCAATAAAAAAGATACTGGTGAAATCAAGAGAGTTTTAAAAATCCAAACTTTTAGATGCACACATCTTGATGAAAGAGCTCGCAATTTTAAAACAGTTTTTGATATTAAATGTTATGTATATTGGTATATTGTACAAGAAGTATTGAACGTTTGTGCTTTTGATGAAACAGTACTTTGAAATCAAAGTTATGGAATTAATTCTTTTTTTGGGTCAATATTACCAATCACAATGGATTATATTTATTCTTCTATTAAATGTAATAACTGCTATGAAGCTGTAATAAAAGTCAGTTCCTTATTATCAGCCTGTTTATTTTGCAGATCACATAGAACCTCTGATATATATACAGGGTAGCACATATTGAGTCTATCAATGTTAACTGGCTGTAAAGACCTTATTTTATTCTAAACAATTATTTTTAGTTTGTGAAACTTTCCTTTCTCTTCTGATTTCAGTTTCTCAACAGAGTGTAAATTTTAAAAACATGTATGCAAATTCAAAGTGAGTCTGGAAGCAGTATTTAAGCAGTGGTTTTAAGAGTTCATGAGTAGCAGGAGGAGGAAGGGGGGAGTTCCAAATTTATGCTTTGTGTTTGAAATAGTTCTGCATGTTAATAGTTGGTGTTAGCGATCCTCTTCAGAATATATTGATATTCTAGGTTTAGCTTTGCTGTGTGCAGCTGATTTAGCAGTTTAGATAAATAAGGAACCAGTTGTGTATCCTATCTTACTTTATTGTGATTTTACATTTTTATTTTGTGTTATAGAGTTACTTAGCGACAAAGTGGTGGTAAATTGTAAGCACCGAGTAAGTGCAATTTTTTTTTAGTTCAAATAAAAAGGTTACTTAAAACTTATTCTGCAGTATCTGTTCTTCAAAGACCTAGCGAGAATTCGCTACTCAGTCTTTTTAGCTACGGTCTACAGTGTATGATTCCAAAACAGACAAGAAGACTTTACATGGCATACTACATCTGTGAAGAGCTAACAGTCAGGCAATTACCTAGGCCACTGGCCACTGCAGCTATGAATTGCCTTCATGCCTTCATTAGTGGAAGCCTTCATTAGAACAGCCTTTCTCACAGCTGCTTACTGGGTGTTGCAGCAGAACAGTGATGAATGTCAGACATATAGTCACAGCAGTTGGGAGATAGAATTTGGATTCAATAAGATGGTGCAATAGAAAGTGCAAGTATAACTGTACTTGGATACTATCTCATAGATTGTGTTGAGATGCATCAGGGAAACATTCCTATACATTCTTAGTCAACCTTGAATGATGCATCCAAGTAGATCAAAGATATTATTTTCAAGATTTATTAATGGCTGCATTATATATTTTATTGCAGTAAATCCCTCTGTATATACTGTTATTTGACAATTACATAAAGAGGTTAGATGCATTCATCATCTGCCTGTTGATACTTAAAATTAGTAGATACAATACAATAATAATATGCTGAAGGAAATTCTTTTAAAAATAAAAAGCACAAATATTAAAAATTAAATTATATATGTCAAAATGTTGCAGTATTTCAAGAAGCAAACAAGACTTTCAATAATAAGAGGGAAAAAAGGCTGAAACTGACTTCAGTTAAAAAAAAAAAAAAAAAAAAAAAATTATTAAAAAATAATAATATTATAATAGAAACGACAGCAAGTAAAAATTAGTAAGAAATGCATAATAACTTTTAATATGATAGAAAAATAAAAAGATGTATGTAATAATTTATAAAAAGAATGATTCATGTTTTTAATTCTTACAAATTCTAATTCTCTTTTCTCAGCTGCATAAGAATTTTTTGTTTCTTTTAGTTGAGATTCTAATTCTTCAAGACGCTGGTGAAACTGGAGTTTCTGCTGTTCCCAACTTAATTTGAGCTGCAGAATTTCATTTTCATTCCCATGCACATGCTAATACATAAATTACACAGATTAAATTCTTATTAAAACACAACTATATATTCAACTTCAATTCTCAAAATTACAAGATAACATATTATAATTCTTTCATCCATATAACATAAAAAATTTCATTTTATAACATAAATATTTTATAATGATTTGTATGAAAACAAAACTGATTACATTTCATGTAATTTTCATGCGTAAAATGTTTTTGATAATTAATAGTCATAAACCCAAAATATATTTGGCTCTAATCGCATCATGCATTCATAACTTCCTTTTGAAATCAAAATATTAAACTGATAGATTTTACATTGTATGAATGGTTTACTCAATTAAACATTTCACATCAATGTACTATTTTAGCTCACATCACACTTGTAATAAGTGGTACGTAATAAGAAAAATAGTTAAAAAAGTTATGATAGTCTTAATTTTTTTTTTTTTAAATTTTATAAAACATTTTCCTAATTTATACACAAACAGCTATATAGGCTGGACAATATTTGAGAAAGTATATTCTAGCTATGCAAACTCTCTAGGGCTTTTCAAAAATGTTCAGCATATAAAGGTAGCATCCAATTATGATCCACTGATAGCATCAGTGAAAGGGTTGTTTATTTATTTGCAAAAGAATAACTGTTTAAGCTTATCATTGTTAAGGAAGTTGACCATTATACCACCACAACATGTGAAGTGATGGCCACTGTAAAGGCCAGTTAACATAATAGTAAACACAGATGAGTTACATAACACATAAAAATAAAAATTCCAAGCAAAATTATCCCATTTCAGTGTAAAAGTATACAAAATTTAGAACCTAGTTTCAAAAAGAAATTTTAAAAAATACTTATTAAATAGTAAATGAATCTGGATCTGCCTATACCCTAATGGAAAAACAGATCAGAGGAACTTTCAATACACAGATTATCAGAATAAATCTGATATTGAGAATTGTGATATAGAAAGGAATAATGGGAGGAAACTGAACAATTTCCTGTTCATACTGCTGAAAATTATAATTTACCAACATAAATATGTTTTGAAATCTGTAATATATTTTGCATACAAAATATTCATGAATCTAGAAAAATCACCAAAAAACACTCAAATTTATCATATAAATATTTTTAAGCAAATATGTAAATGACAGAAAATGTACAGGTATAAGTGGGTGGGACACCAGAAATTCATAGGTTGTGCAGGTATAGACCCACCCCATTAACAGTGCAACTCCATCCCAGTTTTCATGAAGGCACCTGGTAAACTCTGGTAAAACTGCAAAATTAATTCAGTACAGACCATCCTATCATCAAAATATTAACCATGTCTATAAAAGATGTGACCTTTATTTTGGCAAATGTTAGTCATAAACATATACGTCCAATTACAAAGTGTCTTAAATAAAGAAAATATTCAAGCTATCACATTTTCATATTAAAAAAGTCAATTTTGTAAAAATTATGATACCTGACATTTATATGATTTCTCTCAGAATATATAGTTATTCATATATTTAAAAAAAGTTTATACTTAAAATATATAAATTTATTTTATTTTTTTATATAAAAAATAAAATGCAAAAAGTCTGATTCTGGTAAAACAAGAAATAATAATTCATCAAGATATTTAATTTCAAAGTGTCAGATCATATTCAGGAATCAGAAAAATTTAAGAGTGAAATATTAAAATTTGTATGTAACTTAAAAAAACATTTCCACTCCAACAATTTTTTATGTATTACTATCATAAAGTAATAAAACTGCAAGTAAATATTATTAAAGTATTTTTAGCAACTATCTGTATGAAAATGCTATCTGCATATCTAATGCCACAAAATTATAAATTAAAGTGTGTTATTAAAACACAACAGAAGTTGTGCTGTTAAACACAACAGAATAATAGCATATGTGTAATTGGCAGTACAAAGGTTAATACCTGATTGCTTGAGACTACATACACATTTTAAAGTAGCTTCTTTTGCCTCAGTTGTGGAATTCGTAACAACGGATACCAGCACACACACGTGTAAGAAAAATAAAGAATATGTAAAAGATCAAATTTAAATTAGCAGCGTAAATTAATTTTCCTTCTCTATTCTAAAAGTAGTAATCTCTCTTTGCACTGCGTCATTTTGAGATTAATCCATGTCATATGGCTCTTACATATTCTGATGATGTATATAGAACTCAAACAGCCAATAATAATTTTAAAGTAGTTTAATTATACAATCAAATATACTGAGAACCAAAACTAACTCAGTCTGAATTAAGATTTCACCCCTGAACATAACACACTTGCTCACTACTCTTCAGCTAGTTGGACTGCTGTCTGTTGCTTCATTTCTTACTGCAAAGTTATCAAAAACGTAAACCTCTTAAAAATAGGCACAAAATAATGTGCCAAGTTGTTTGTGACCATTTTTGTTTGCTGAAATAAAATAAAAATTTTATCTGCCCCAGCTGCCAGTTTCCTATTCATTATAGATTAGCATTCTATGACATTAAAAATCCTGCTGTTTATTACTTCTAAGTTTGTTTCTATTACATATATATATATGAAATAAGATGTACAGAGAAGATTAAAATTTTTTTGAAGCTTTTTCTAATTTTTCTGTAGTCTGAAATGGTTTTTGTAATTTACTTTATAACTCATATTACAAAGTGTTTCTGGAATTTTGACAGGATACTGCAAGCGTTTGTTACGACTTTTTCTAGGTTTCAAAAATTACTTTCTTATTTATAATATGGAAAGATACATGTGTGTACATATTTAAAATAATCTAAGGTTTACCAGAAATTATCATTTCTAATAATAGCTTAAATAATAATAGCTTTGCTGGGTTAGCTAAAAAAAAAAAAAAAAAAAATTGCCCACATAAGAAAATTCTGTAATGTACAAAATACAAATATTTCCCAGAAAACAAGCTGAAAGAAAGATCGAGCTCTGCTTTCAACATTATATAAAACAAGCTTTATTTACAAATTAAAAGTGAAAAGGTTTAAAGAGTTTTGGTCAAAATACAAGTCAGAGATACTGATGAAAGAAGTACATATTTGAAGTAAGTTTATGTCTAAAAACACAGGATAACATGATAAAATATATATTTTTACACACTTGTGGTATACTTGCTGCTATAGTTTCTCTTAGTATTTTTTCTTTCTCTAGAGAAATATCACTACCTCTAGCAGTTAAAACATCAATTCTTTCTTTTAATTCCTGGATTTCTTTCCTATAGTTTAAACAACTCTCTTTTGATAGATTTTCATCAGCTGCTACAGCTGAGCTTTTTAATGTTTTATCTAGCTCATCTCTGTATAAGGGAAGAGGAAAGAAAATACATTACACTTCAGAAAAAAAGACAGAGTTTGTTTTATAGAATTATCAAATTTCACATAAATAAATAAAAAGCAAACTGCATTATTTTATTATGTACTGTCATAATGATTAATACTGAAAATATAAATAACAAATACCTGACAGAATGTAGCACAGGAATGGAAGAAACATTAATAAAATAATATTTAAATTGTATTTATGAAAAAAAAAATAATTTGAAAACAATGCAACTACTAAAACAACTTTTTAACTTCGCAAGAGAAAATAAAAATAAACAGAATACAGAGAAAATGCAAATTCTATAGTTATTAGGTTGTACGGAAAATTTCCAAAAATTTATAGTGTGTTGAAGTTAATCACAGAACATAAATAGGAAATGATGATGCCAATGTTGCACATTGTTGTATATGAAAGAAGGGATTTGGCAGATATTAATTATGCCATTGTCAGAAGTGCATTTGATATTGTTATACAAATATTTAAATAGTATGAATACAAAAAATGCATTTGGACAGTTACTGAAGATATTTGGTGGTGATGACACAGAATAGAATACATGCTAAAATTAGTATAAAAATTGAAAGGTGGTGTTTAAGAGCTGCCTGATTCAACCAAAAGTAATGATCTAATAATATGAACAATGAAACTTTGAAGTATATGCTAGGAAGCAAACCAGGTATAAAATTATGATCACAACATAAAATTACATGAATATGGTTTGAAAACTTGATAAAAATGATGAGATGAAATGATACCAAACTGATTTCTTTGCTTTTTTGCACCAGGCATGTAAAATTTTGAGATATTTTAAATTAATCAAGTGGTATAACAAGATCAGGAAATATGATAAAAATAACTTGAATAATAAGTAGACACAGTGTTCTGTAAAAGATTTTTGGCTTTGAATTGATGTTTACTTTTTGTTGGAAACTTTCTTTACAACCTGAGGGATTCACAAACTGAAATTTGAAGGACATACATATATGAGGAGATGAAAGCATTAGAAATAGTAAAATCAAAATAATTGTTACTTCATTGCCACAAGTTCTTTTTCAAGGTCTGTTTTCAATGTAAAGCTCTGTTGTAACTTTTGCTGCATAATTTGAAGTTCATGATTTAATTGTGAAACAGCTTGATCTCTGTTACTTTCAATTTCTTTGATTTTCCTTTCTAGTTTGTCCCTAGAAAACATATCAAAGAAAGAATGCAAAAGTTGGCCTCTTAAGAATACCATGAAATTTAGCAATTTTTAAAAATACAATAGTGAAGAACAACTGAAATATGCAAAAACTTCTGAAGGAATAATATACATTAAATCTAGATTCATGGTAGCAGCAATATTAATATAAATTCCTAAATCAGCCAAGTAACTGAAAAAATGAACTAGCTTTCGAGACTATTAGCATTTTTAATTTAGGACTGGTTTTATAACAGTATTACAGTAGTTACCTGAAGTAGATAATAAAACTGATTGTTAGGACTATGAATCGAAACTGCTAAAATTTTCAAGCTGATTACAACAGGATGAGAAGCATTATACTAAATACTTGCAAGTGTATTGAGAGTCCTGTATAACAGGTACAGGTTGAAGTAAGGCCAGCTCTTGCACATCCATATAGGCATATTAGGCATCTCTGGGCCTTGCTAATTGCTAACCTTCGACCCCAATTTGAATTTCGAGGAACAACATCCTGAGGGGTGATCTGAGAATCTCCCACCCTTCTTCAATTACCACCAACCTCTCAAGAGGATTGTAACTTGCTGAGTAGCTTGAGTGTCCCCTTGCACATACAGACACTCACAAACATCCCTGCCCTTTTCAGGATTTAGGCCTGGGATGTTTGGCATGGCAGTCAGCGTATTCTTGCGCAGCACTTCAAACAGCAAGAGAAAATAAATAATAATAATAATAATGTTGATATCCTTATGCAAATACAAATATATGCTGATATCAAATATTGGCCAAAAATCCACATATTCCGTTGAAGTAGTGATAACCGCCACCAGTATAAAAGCTCCAAATTCTAGCTGTGATAGTATGGATCAGATTAAACAGAGCAGTCAAGCAGAGTAGGTAGGCTGCAAGCAGTGCCAGAAAGGCCGAGTTCCAGTCCACAATACTGGAGAAAATTCTTCTAGAGAGTGGCCAAATGGTCATTGTGAATGTCTCACAAAATTAGGGATTGCAGTTCAGTTACCCAGCTCCACCTAAGACATTTTCAATATTGTGTTAAGTTTCTTCAATCAAGTTGACTTAGCAATAAACTTATATTTTAACTGAAGCTTCTGTGTTTAAGCTATATTTTTAAAGTTAGATAATGCAAGTTTTCAAAAATTAAAAACATAAAATAAGTAAAATTTCAAGTTCAAGCATTTAACAATTAAAGTTTTTCAAAATACCTCAGTTGTAAAACTCAATTTTAGTTTTTAGGTAGGTTAAAAACAAAAACTTAACCTTGCATATATAGTTTACGTTAACTTACAGTTTTCGTGGATGCTCAATATCATATCATCATAACCTGATATCTGAAAATACTTATTCTGAACCTTATAATTACTATTCTTGATAATAGTCAATATCTACAATTTTTATCCCTATTTGCAATAATTTAAACCATTCTCTATTCTTTTATGCATAGAGAGAAGAAAGGCACTTTTTTATTCTTAGCATAATATGATGAAATAATCAGACTACATTTCAACTACATTTTCTTTTTCTACATTCTACATTTCTTTTTGTTTACGTGTTTAAAAAAATTATCTTTTAGTAACCGTAATAAAAATTTTCATTAAGAAATATGTAAGATAAATATTTCATAGGAAAACGCATTAAATTCATTGATCATTCTTCAATTTAATAAGGAAAATAATCATTATTCAAAAACTCAGTTCAATTATTATCAATTATAAATGTAACCTGATACTTTCTAAAGGTAAATTAATATAATCTAAAGGTATGATATAAATGTAACCTGATACTTTCATTATTGAACACTTGAATATTCCTAAAACTTCCATGAATGTATGAAGAAAAAACCTTTTGTCCATTGTTTCTTGCTTAGCTTTAATCATGAAATAACTGTTACTTGTAATATACTTTTGGAAGTTTATAAGGTTATCAAGATTACAAGAGTACCTATGACTTTTTTTAAACTTAGCTTACACTATTAATTTAGAAGTCAAACAACAAAAATCAGCATTATATTTGCAAATTTTCACAGGACTAGTTTCGATGGTTTTTACCAAACCATCATCCTCAGTTGCCAAAGCCCAAATGAACGAGATAAGATAAGATAAGAATGGTTGGAGAGGCATTAAGCTATTGGCACCATCTATTGATTAAATGAGAACTAAAACGTAATTTCCTTAAGGACATACAGTGCCTCACAAAAGTGTTCGTACACTTATGATTTTCATTGAAATAGGGCTCTATCCATTAATTAAAAGTAAACTTTCTGAATGAGATTTTAATAATAAGATCTATAATCTATTCATAACAAAATAACATGAAATATTTTTTAAATATAGTGAAATTTTATTTTTAAGAAATTAATAATCAAAAAATGACAAACATTTTATCTCGCAAAAGTCTTCGTACACTGAAATATTTTTGGATAAAATCAAAATGAATTATAGTTTGCCTCTTTTTTTTAATTTTTGCATTGTGATGGCATTTAAAAATTTGTTTGCTTTAATTTTTTTTTTGTTTACTTCATAATATTCTATTTATTATCAAAAAATGGGTCCCAGTCATAAAGAAATTACAAACAGCATTCGAAAATTGATAATTTTTCACCATAGTAGTGGTAAATCAATTTGAAATATTGCTAAATTAGTTAATTTATCCGACTCTACAGTGCAGTATGTGATAAAACACTTTAAAGATGAAAATTGGATTGGAAATAAGGTAAGAATAGATCGACCGAGAAAGTTAACTAAACGTGATAAGAGATTTATTATTAGCAAATTAGTGAAAAACCCACGTTTGAGTGCTGTAAAAGTTTCTGCAGAATTTAATGTAAAGTTTCCTACTTCAATTTCACATTAAATTGTTTGACGAGTTCTCAAAGAAGCTGGATTACATGGGTGTTTTTCCCGTTAAAAAAAAAAAAAATTGTTAGTGAGAAAAACAGAAAGCTTAGGCTTTCATTTGCAAAATCAATGATAAATACACCCGAAACATACTGGAATAATGTCCTATTTGCTGACGAAAGCAAATTTAACATTTTTGGTTCAGATGGTCGAATAACTGTATGGAGAAGAAAAAATGAAGAACTTCATTCTAAGAACTTAGTTGGAACAGTTAAGCATGGCGATGGAAGTGTTCTTGTGGGGGGCATGACAGCATCAGGACTAGGTAATTTGGTATTTATTGATAGCATAATGAATTATTCCCTTTATTTAAATATTTTAGGAGACAATTTAAAATTATCAGCCCAAAATTTTGGTATTGGAAACAACTTTATTTTTAATCATGATAACGATCCTAAGTATACGGCTCTCAACGTTCGCCTGTAGTGTCTCTATAATTGTCCACAGGTTTTGAAAACACCACCTCAGTCGCCAGATTTAAACCCCATAGAACACATTTGGAATAAGCTGGAGGTTAGAGTACGAAAACATGACATCAAAACGAAAAGCAAACTCAAAACAGCCATGATGGAAGAATGGATGAACATTGATACAAAAATTACCCCCCCCCCAAAAAAAGTAAAATCTATTCCCAGACGTTTAAAAGTTGTTGTGGATGCCAAATATTAATTTAACAAAAAAATTATATTAATATTTACCAATATGTCAAGATTTTTTTGAAGTGTACAAAGACTTTTGTGAGATAAAATGTTTGCCATTTTCTGATTATTAATTTCTTAAAAATAAAGTTTAACTATATTTTAAAAATATTTCATGTCATTCTGTTATGAATAGATTATAGATCTTATTATTAAAATCTCATTCAGAAAGTTTACTTTTAATTAATGGATAGAGCCCTATTTCACCTATTTCAATGAAAATCATAAGTGTACGAACACTTTTGGAAGCCACTATAATTCATTCTTTCCAGCCATTCTTATCTTATCTAATCACTATATCTTATTTTGGTCATTTGCATTTCGGCAGCTGAGGCTGATGGCTTGGTAAAAACCATATCCTTTCACAAAGCGGTTTTAAGTTTGGGAAACAGTAAAAAGTCTGCTTGAACCAAGTCAAAGAATAGAATAGGTGGGACATAATAGATATAATGGAAGTACAATGTTTTGTTAGATTATTGGTAACAAGGAACATTGCATGTGGTGGAGCATGGTTATGATGCAACATCCAAGACTGACTGCCCCCCCCCCATAGTTCAGTCTCTTCCTGTGCACAGCATCTCTCAGTTGTGTTAGAATTCTCTGGTAGACTTCCTTGTTTAGTGTCTTACTCTGTGGGACAAATTCATAATTTGTCGGTCATCTGCTAAGGTGGAAAGGTTGTTCAGTCATTTTATCTTCTGGCCTCTTTAAAATGTTGAAATCAATCATAGTATGGCGTTCAGCTCATGCAATCATCTTAGTGTGCTGGTTAAGCATTTGAAATGCTTTCATGAAAGTTTTCCTAAAGTTTTGCACAAAATTCATGCATATACATTACTCCACCAAATCCTTCATTTCTACATTTTCACTCATTCAACAAACAACCTATGCCCGACTTTGGCTCAAATGGTAATTACTCCCCAAGTGCATAAATTGGAATCTAGTAGAAGGCGATATATTACTTACCACTAGTTGTGCATGGTGTTCAGAATCAGCCATATGCAACTGTTGGAGTGCAATTTAAAAAGTTTGATATCTTTTTAACAGTCCTTGTATTGAATTCCAACATACTTCAGATGGTATACTTAAACCAGTTCCATTGCATTCATTTAAATTTGGCTAGGGCAAGGGAGGAATTTTATGGACACTATTTATTTTCTAAAAATCAATCAATCCCATTTTACAATGAAAGAAAGTACTCAAAAGCCTTTAAAGTGAAATTTCTTATTATTGAAATAATAATAATTGATGATGATTATCACTTACTTTTCCTGATTAAGCTCATTAATTTGTTTCCAAAATTGCTGTCTGGCAGTTATCAAGTTTTGTTGATAATCTTGCTCTTTGGTTATCACAGTTTGTTGCTCAAGCACCAAGCTATCTTTCAGTGCTTGTAATTCAGCCTTGAGTCCTAGACACAAAATATATGAATATATGAGATTAAAAGGTAGCTTTACAGGTAGGTAGGTACACAAAAAATGGTACTTCCAAGAAAAACATTAAATAAATAAATTGAAAATTATACTTAACCAAACAACTCTCACATATGGCTCAAATTGACTTTGAATTTTAGAAAACAGTTTTCTTTTTCAACTTTTTTCTGTTCAATTTGCATATAATTAATCTAACTCGCTGTCCACCATTGCCCTTATATATATGTAGTGAAAACAAATTTAGAAGTACTCATGTAGGAACATCAAGACACAGAAACACTGATGGTGTAGATCCATATTGAAGAATAATTCTGAAATACGAAAATGTTGAATCTCTATTGACCAAGAAACTTTGCAGTCGAGGTGGATTAAATTCCATTTTTATTTAAATTGACATTTGTGGCCACAAATCATTTGGCACTCTAATCATGCCTATTTCCAGAACATTTACACTTTTCATACTGTTGCGATAGGAAGAAAGCCCATTAAAATTGTGTCCAAGAAGAAGAAGAAAACTAAGAGGAACAAAAGAAGCTAACGGTGTGCATTTATCTAAAATAGAAGAAAATTGTGTCCAAGAAGAAGAAGAAAACTAAGAGGAACAAAAGAAGCTAACGGTGTGCATTTATCTAAAATAGAAGATCGCCAAAAGGAAGGTTTTGGTTATGTCAGAAAAGTTTTAGTTCTTAAAATTTTAAGTTTAGGTTCCAAATTACTCACATCATTAGCATTGCACAGGCCATTCAAGATGGACACATTCAAAAATACTGAGTTAAAAACTGGTCTTGAAGGAAGTTCTTTACAACTTATTCACAAACACACAGTCTTTAATTCACTTGCCTATAAATCAAATTCACATTTGTGGCATCACTGCTAATAATGATACAGTGTGAATCAGACTAGTCGATACCTAGGCTGAAGGGATTACCTTTACCTAGTATTTAATTTAATCACAGTTTGAATGAGAAATATAATTTCTTAATTGCATCTCTGTTGTTGCTTTAGATGAACCTCTGCTGTATAAAGGTATACAGTCAAAAGTCGTTAATCCAGACTAGTCGGGACTTCGGCGATTCCGGATTATCGATTTTTCTGGATTATAGATCATCAGTTTAAATCTGGTAAGATGGCATGCAGAAATTACAAAATTAAAAATATGAAACTGTAATTTATGAAATAAAGAACAATTATGATCTAAAGGGTATCAAAATTTGCAAAAAGAAAAAGCTTACTATTTATTTGTTGACTTTATTAAACATTTCTTTCAATGTAAGTTGCTTCGTTTCATGTGATAATACTTTCTCTTTAATTCTATTAAACAGACATAATTTCTTGTTTAGTTACAAAGTTCCGCTGTTCAAGTCCTATAATTGCTGTGTGGAGAATACCGACTAATTTGTCAATCGAAATGTTTTCGTTTTCAATAACCTCTGGGTCACTTTCTTCACTATCGGAAGCAAATTATAATGACGAGGAACCTGATTTAAATCATATAGAGATGAAATACTACACTTAGTAAGGAATTATAAGCCAAATAAAATAAAAACATCTGCCCTGAAGATAAGGATAGTGCTGACAAATCAACTTCCAATCCGCCAAATTGATAAACAGATTTCGAATTTCAAAACATACTTTCGCTTTGTAGATACAAATTACATATTAGTAAATATATATCAGAAATTCTATTTGACATAATCGAAGTTCAAGCTTACCTTTATGAAATTGCTCTAACAGTCTGCAAAAAATAATAAGCCGGATCCAATTCGAAGATTAAGGTACACCGCAATATGTAACATTAACTGAATTAGATAATTTTAGCTTAGCTTATACCTCTGTTACACATTACACGCGCATGCGCACAAACATATTTGCAGCCGTAAAGGTCTTACGTGCACTCGTAAACGCCTGTGCGCATGCGTGAATGCGACGCATGTGCAGAAAGTTTGTAGCTTTGAGGTCCGGATTATAGATCATTCCGGATTATGGGTGTCCGAATTAGTGACTTTTGACTGTATAAAGCTAAGAGTGATGGTTCAAATAAACAACTGGCTTACTAGACTAGTAAATATTTTAAGTAAAAAATATAATTTCTAGCAGAACCTTAAAGTTAAAATAGCTTAACAACTGGTTTACTGTACTGTTTTATATTGAAAAGGCAGTTACGAATTTATATGCATGGCTTTGTACCATTTCCTTCACATTAGCATAGCCTGCACATTAAAAAAGTGTGCAAAATAATAACAACTTTAAAAATAAACTAAAAAACACAAAATATCATAAAATAAATATAAAAAAGATTGATACTTTTTTCAATTATTAGTTATGATTATTTGGATGAGAACAAATTGTTATTATCTGACAAATGGTACAGAAATTGAAAAGGCTTGCTCATCAAATCATCAGAGAGTTAGTTATTTACAGTTGTGTTTCTTGGAAAGGATGTTTAAAGCAACAACTAAAAATTCAACTAGCTGGTCTCTGGGCAGCATAAAAAAATTCTGATTCTCCAAAATTCTATGTAGTTCAAGTTTTGTAATTCTTACCAGAAGCTCAAAGTTTTTATTCACATAAATACATAATCAGAAATATAACTATAGAAACATTTTTTTTTAAAGTTTTTATAAAATAAGCAGTAATTTACAATTCTTAAAGTAAGTAATGAATTAAAAGTAAAAAAAAAATTAATTTATCATATAATTTAATAGAAATAAGAGATTAAATAATTCTCTCTACAAAATTCATCTACAATTTTAATCAATAATAATTAAAAGCATGTGGTGCTCTTAACGAATTTCTAAAATTAATAATGGCGTATAATTTTGACAATGCAATTATTCAGGCTTACTTTTATTAGATATTTTAATTATTTGTGATATAAAACTGCAGACAAATTTCATAAAAAGTATCATTTAATCTCCTGTTCCCAATAAAATATACATTAAATTATTTTTCTTCTTTTATTTTTCTGATGATTTTACAGGTTTTAAATAAAAGCTTACTTTTATTAAACATTCATTTAATCATTGACTGATGATTTTACAAGTTTATTATTTTCTTATTTCATATTTTTAATCTCGCATGAATTATTCAACTGACATGTTACCATGTGAATTATTCAACAGAAAAATTATTTTTCAACACACCTGATTCTGAAGTCTTTCTCAGTATTGTACTAAGTGCTGTTAAAAGATTTATAGGACTTTTTAGCATTTAACATTTAAAACTGAATTATTTACATTACTAAACAATAAATAAAATATATGCTGAAAATTTATTCAAATAATTCTTACTCTCACTCACTCATAAAACATATGGATAAGATTATCATTATTTACTTGCTATTTCATCATGCAATCGCTCTTGTTCAGATTCTTTCTCAGCCTTCCATTGTTCCATTTCAACTTGTAAATTTGTAGTTACCATGCGACATTTATGCTCACATTCTTCAGCTTTGCTTCTGAGAGAAAATATTTCACGGCGGCAGACTTGTAACTCATTGTTTAATGTCTTTCGATGTTCTTGGCAGTTAGCTAATTCTTTTTCTAAAACCTCCTTCTGCATTATCAGTTTTGACTTCTCAGACTAAATGTTAAAATAAATAAATAAAATAAAATCAGCATCAAATTTGGAGAAAATTGTCATTATATACATTAGAGAGATTCTCAAGTATATTTTATGCTAAATATTTATTTCCTGTGAAGGCAAAGACAGTAAAAGTAACATTGCAGAAAATTGTTAAATATACAAAATGTATCAATATGGAATGAAATCACAGTAATTAATCACTTGCAGAATTTTTTTTTTTTTTGTATTGTTGCTAATGGAGTCCATAAGCAATAAGGACCAACAAGCTCAGCAATACCTAGAGTTTTCAAAACAACCTCAGTTAGAGCCCAAAATTTGTAAATGTTCCCATTTGCCCAAGAGTATATACAGTACAAAGTCTGAGATCCGTAATGATCTCAAATCCGGACCTCAAAGCCACCACCAACTCTTTTTTTTTTTATGCTTTACGCATGCACATTTAATTTCCCCCCTCCACACATAAATAAAACATGTGGGGCATTACAATTCTTAATTTCACTTTATCTGCTTGGCTTACACCTCAAACCGAAACATTCTACAAACATACATCGTCGTGATTTTACATCTACTAATATTTTATAACCCTTATGAATCATTATTTATTATATTTTGCTTTCATCACTGCATGTTTATCAACACATGACAACTTGAATAATGACTCATGTAGTGATGCCTAAACAATTTTTTTTTTAATGTTAGTAATTGAATTCTCAAAGAGTATTGTAACCTTTTATGTTGACAATACGCTTGGCAATGATTACAGTTAAATGCCCTAAGAAATGTTGACGGGGAAAAATTTAACATAAATTTCTTTCCATATGCTAAAAATAGATTTTCTTAATGATACTCATAGGCCAAAAGATTACATTTAGTGTTATTTGAATTAAGAATAACTGATTTGTTATTCACATAAACCCAGAACCAGCGCGAGGGCTCGTATGGCCGCACCGGGCAGCAGAATTTAGGGAAGATGAAGGGAGGCACTTGGTAGCAGAATTTAGGACCCACAGAGAATGCATCAGGTGGCAAGATATCTAGCACTAGCCCTTGATAAGCTTTAAGCATATGTGGGATTTTATTTATTCAGGACTCAGATAAGTTTTAAGCACACGCAAGAAATAGATGTAAGTATCATAAATAACAAATAAAATTCAGGCTCAATTGTCTTAGTGTGCGATATGATACATAGCCAAATATGTATAGTGAACGATAGCTGAATTTTATGATGATAGCTGCAAATTTTAAATGTTTAAAACAAAGGTGAAATTTTCCAATTAATGGATGCTATAAAGAAATGTGGAGAAGTGGTAATAAATGAAGATGATATAAAAGAAGTCCTTCATTATGATGACAATGCTCTTCAAACATCAACCAATTATTGGATGGTGGAATCTGTAGCATGGTTCTAGATCCAGAAAATACTGCTACTGATAGTGAAGAAGTGACAAAGAGGTTACTGAAAATGAAAAAAATTCAATTGACAAGTTAGTCAGAATTCTTAACACAGCAATTACAGGACTTCAACAATGTAAGTAAACAAGAAATTTTAGCTGTCTACAGAATTAAAGAAAAAGTATTAACACAGAAAACGAAGCAACTTAAATAACTTACATTGAAAGAAATGTTTACTAAAGTAAACAAATAAATAGTAAGCCTTTTTTTTTTTTTTTTTGTAAATTTTGATACTCTTTATATTATAAATGCTTCATTATTTCATAAATCACCATTTATATTTTTAATTTCATAATTTCTACATGCCATCTTACTATATTTAAATTGATGATCTAATATCCGGAAAAATCCCAAATTCGGAATGGCAGAAGTCCCGATGAGTTCGGATCTCCGACTTTGTACCGTATTTCTATAATCGGTACTTTTCCTTTTTGCCGGTGCAAGCAATAAAGTCACTGAAAATGGCACAACCGATGCCAAACGGAATATCCTCGCTGATAACCTTTTATGCCTCATTTTCAAAACAAATCACAGCCATTTCTTATCAGATTAATTGTTTCTTTCAATACTGGTATAAAATTGCATAGAATTTTTACCAGATAGTTGAATTTTATACCCTGCGGTAGTTAAATCAATTAGGATGCAATCACACCGCTCATCCGAAGGCAGAAATACAAAAAAGGTAAAGCAAATTGTTAAACTCATCAATTCTAATGCGAATACACTAGGGAAGTAAAGCACTGTGGTTTTACATAATTTTTGAGTAAGCTATTCATACGAATAAAAATGATTCTTGCATTTAAACTTCTATTCCATATTAAGATTTAACTTGAAATTAATCTCCTATAAACTAATTACTGGATAACTTGAAATTAATGAGAGAATTAGATTTTTGTAGCGTAGTTTACGTGAGATGAGATCACTTGGGGTCACACGGTATGAACCGGCGAATCAGAATGCTGTACCATGAAGACATAGTAAATTCTTAAATCAATTTATTTTTACAAATTTATTATCTTTATTCATTGCCTTTTTACAAAATTTTATGGATTGGTATTAGGATCGTTAACTAGAACAGAAAGATTTTTTTGAATATGAAATGCCTCTAGAAATAAAGTTCTCCAATGGAAGATGTTTTTTGAATAATTTTGGCAGCAGAAAAATTGAAAGTGTCATCCATCTTTACCTTTGGCCTTTCAAGAAATTATGTTTTAGTTCTGGTTTCATCAACAGATGGCGCCACTAGCTTATTTTCTGTCCAGTCTTTGTCTTTTATTATCCTATCTAATCATTATATCCTATTCGTTCATTTGCACTTTTGCAGCTGAGGATGGTGGTTTGGTAAAACCATCGAAACTAGTCCTGTGAAAATTTGAAAATATAACACTGATTTTTGTTGTCTGACTTCTGAATTAGTTACCCATTTGTTATGAATCTGAATTTCAAATGCTTACATTTAACATTTGAAAAAATAATGCATTTCAGACAAAAAGCCAACATATTTTCTTATACACATATGAAAGCAAAACATTTTATCTCCTTATGATATCCTGTCACACAATATTGGTGGAGATCCTGCCAAATTTATATGTCATTCCTGCAGGAATTCGAAGGAACTGATCCACCTTTATTTGCAAGTTAAATATTTATAATTTGATCATTTATTATTATTTTTAATTATTTCATTAATGATTATTTATCATTATTGATTACTGATTATTGGTCTATTACTTATTATTTGATTTAAGCTGATTTCTTTTAATTTATATTAGCATCTTTTATACAAGTTACAAATATAACATATGGAAATCTGCATCACTTGTCATAATCTTTCACATTGCATCACCATACCAATTTGAAATACAGTTACAAATTGTACCCAATAATGCACACTTTTTTGATGCAAGGATCCCATAATTTCGAAATTATTTCATAGCATACTTTCCATTGAAAGCAGCTCACACAACTTTTTTTTTTTTTTCCCAAACTACAGCGGTAAAAACTGATAAATAGCAGTTAATTTACGTCCTTTTCTTCAAAAACCTAAACTAGTTTACCGAGAATTATTTAGATTTATATAAAACAAAGGCGAAGACCGAGTTGTGATATCCCATTAGCAGTAAATCAGACTGTTCAATGACAATTTTTTTAAGGAGGGAGGGGGCTGGTTAAAAGTGGTCAACTTTAAACATTTTGCAGTAGACTAAATGCCTGCCATGAAGTCGTATCATGCCATACCTTACGCATCCTCCAATCTCTTTCCAAGAGAAGATTCCTGTATAAATTTATAATGGCTTTACAAATTTCTTATTTGCTTAACTTTTGTTTAAAACCTAAAATTTTAAAATATTCCAGTTAGTTGAATACCAGATAGTCTGGCTTTTAAAGTACAGTCAAAGGTCGTTAATCCGGACTCGTCGGGACTTCGGCGATTCCGGATTATCGATTTTTCCGGATTATAGATCATCAGTTTAAATCTGGTAAAATGGCATGCGGAAATTATAAAATTAAAAATATGAAACCGTAATTTACGAAATAAAGAACAATTATGATCTAAAGGGTATCAAAATTTACAAAAAAAAAAAAAAAGCTTAATATTTATTTGTTTACTTTTCTAAACATTTCTTTCAATGTAAGTTGTTTAAGTTGCTTCGTTTTTTATGTTATAATACATTCTCTTTAATTCTATAAACAGACATAATTTCTTGTTCAGTTACAAAGTTCCGCTGTTCAAGTTCTATAATTGCTGTGTCGAGAATACCGACTAATTTTTCAATCAAAATTTTTTCGTTTTTAATAACCTCTGTCACTTTCTTCGCTATCGGAAGCGAATTATAATGACGAGGCATTTGATTTAAATCATATCAAAGACGAGATGAAATACTACATTGAGTAAGCAATTATAAGCCAAATAAAATAAAAACATCTGCCCTTAAGATAAGGATAGTGCTGACAGATCAACTTCCAATTCAATGCACGCTGCTGCGGCGTTAAAGATAAACAAAGTTTAGATAAACAAACGTTAAAGTTTAGATAAACTTTATCCATTTTTTGCAGAAATTCCACTTTCTCTTTAATGGACTCCGAAAGATACTTTCGCTTTGTATATCCTTTACATATTAGTAAATATATATCGGAAATTCTATTTGACATAATCAAAAGTTCAAGCTTACTTTTATAAAATTGCTCTAACAGTCTGCAAAAATAATAATCCGGATCCAATTCGAAGATTAAGGAACAACGCAATCTGCAACATTAACTGAAATAGATAATTAGATAATTTTAGCTTAGCTTATCCCGTCCGTTATAAATTAAACGCGCATTAAACGTATTTTGCGCACGCGCACACGCAAAATTAGCAGCGGTAAAGGTCTTAGCTGCGTCAACGAGACGCAGAAAGTTTGTAGCTTTGAGGTCCGGATTATAGATCATTCCGGATTATGGGTGTCCGAATTAACGACTTTTGACTGTACTTTTATTCAATAAGCTGTGCCATAAACACTCCCACCCCTTTTTAGTACATAATTACTGATTCACATTTCCTTTTCATGATTTAAAAATGTAAGTTAAAAATGGGCATTGTAAAAAATTTTTAATATTTGATATGTACTTAAAGATAGTGTTATGGACAGAAATGATATGTATTGACACATACTTTCTCATAAATTGTATACATGCTTGCATTGCACTATATTTTCATTACACAAGTAAAAGTCACATAAGTACCTCTAGAGCTCTGATATTATTCATATGATCAGCAAGTTGCTTAGAGTGAGTTCTGTTAAGACTATTCATTTGAAGAGACTGATTTTCATTTTGTGCCCGCAGCTCTTCACATTCAGCCTGCAAAACTTTTACTTTTGAGGTTAACTGTAGAAGGTCTCGCTTTGCAGATTTCAGCTCCATAGCATAAGTATCAGAAGGCTGAGACTTTTCCTTTTCTAAAGTCTCCACCTTATTTTGCAGTTGTTCAACCTAAAATAAAAATAGGAATAGAAAATAAATCACAAATCTCCAAAATTATCTAATAAAAGAAACAGATACTAGCTGTAAAATAAATCATGGTATTAGTTGCAAATAAAATCACAGTATTAGTTGCAAATAAAATCATGGTATTAATTGCAAAATAAATTTAAATAAAAAGGATTACAGTACAAAGTCTTTAATCCGAACTTGTTGGGACTTCGACGATTCCAGATTAGGGGTTTTTCAGGATTATAGATCAATTTAAATCTGGTAACATGGCATGCAGAAATTATAAAATTAAAAATATGAAAATGTAATTTATGAAATAAAGAGCAATTATGATCTAAAAGGTATCAAAATTTACAAAAAAAAAAAAAAAAAAAAAAAAAAAAAAACTTATATTCATTTGTTTACTTTATTAAATATTTCTTTCAACGTGCGCACGCGTAAAGCATACATTATGCATAGTCGAAATTAGAAAATTGCAACCAGAAAACTATTTGACGTGTATTCGTGATATTTATAATGACGAGGAATTTGATTTAAATCATATCAAAGACGGCGTACATCGAGATGAAATACTACATTTAGTAAGGAATTATAAGCCGAATAAAATAAAAACAACTTTTCTGAAAATGAAGATAGTGCTGACAGATCAACTTCCAGTTCATTGCGTGCCACGACGTTGGTGTTTGAACTTAATTTATAAACAATATATTTATTGATGCTTTAAAAAAAAAAAAAAAAAAAAAAAAAAGATCCTTTAACCTGGTAACTATGAACAAACAGGTGAACTATGAAATCAATCTAAATGAATAAATAAAAGTATATTTTGTGGGTTTCTGTCTAAGAAACTAAAGAAAGATTTTTTTTGCTATATATCTTTCTATTAAAAAAACATACTGGCTGCATGGGAATTTTTGCAGCTTTCCCCATGTGTAATGTGAATATGACAGTTTTAGGTAGGTATTTCTTATGCACCATATTGCAAACCAAATAATTTAAATTTTCCATTGATAAAATCACTAGTTCACTCAATTCTGTTTGCAGCATGATTAACCTTAAAAAAGTTTTCATTAGTTCAGAGAAACCGTGTTCCCCACTTGTTACATTTTTTGGTATAGTTAGTAATATTTTAGCTCCTCAATGTTAATTGAATTTGATATATACCGGGTGATCAAAAAGTCAGTATAAATTTGAAAACTTAATAAATCACGGAATAATGTAGATAGAGAGGTAAAAATTGACCACATACTTAGAATGACATGGGGTTTTATTAGAACAAAAAAAAAAAAAAAAAAAAAAAAAAAAAAAATAAGTTTAAAAATGTATGATTTTATGCAGGATGGCGCTCCACCCCATATTGCTAGATGCGTGACAGATCTCTTGCGCGCGTCGTTTGGTGATGATCGTGTGCTCAGCCGCCACTTTCGCTATGCTTGGCCTCCCAGTCCCAGACCTCAGTCCGTGCGATTATTGGCTTTGGGGTTACCTGAAGTCGCAAGTGTTCGTGATCGACCACATCTATAGGGATTCTGAAAGACAACATCTGACGCCAATGCCTCACCATAACTCCGGACATGCTTTACAGTGCTGTTCACAACATTATCCTCGACTACAGCTATTGTTGAGGAATGATGGTGAACATATTGAGCTTTTCCTGTAAAGAACATTATCTTTGCTTTGTCTTAATTGTTATGCTAATTATTGCTTTTCTGATCAGATTATTGCTTTTCTAATAAAACCCCATGTCATTCTAAGTATGTGTGTCAATTTTTACCTCTCTATCTACAATATTCCGTGATTTATTAAGTTTTCAAATTTATATTGACTTTTTGATCACCCTGTATTTATTAATATCTCTTTTTTATTAAACTTATTTGATTCTTCTTTTCACTTTTCGAAATTTAGGTTCATTCCAAAATAAATTCACCCACTTTTATGATTTATTTTTAAAATTTGTATTTTAAAATAATTTTTATTAATTCTTCGAAAAACAGTTTGAATTATAACTTACGACATTTTTACTATAATCTTAAAGTAGTTGCATTTCTAGGCATGCCTGCAAAAAGGTAGTTTTTTTATTCAAAATTTCCGAAGATATACGCGAGTTTAAATATTGGAACTTTTTCAAATTTAGCATATTTGTTGAAATGAATAACTCAAATGTGGTTTAGGCACTTTGTTTAAATTATTTGAAAGGGAACAATGTGGTTTCTTTCCACTCATGCACAATGTAAAAAAGGGAAAGGAAAATAGGTTGCCATGCATTAAGAAGTTTGCCAAGTGAATTATTCTTGGCGCGAACTGAAAAAAATATGCCAAGATAAATGTTTGAGTTTCTTCGTAAATTTCGCACCAAATTTTATAAAATTTCATATTTAGGCATAATATAAGTCGTAGAATCGAAATATGGAAAAAAAATTGGACTGTTATTTCAGAAAAAGTCCGAAATTGAGTCAAAATACCTGTGTTAAAGCATTGTTACATATAATCTAATACAGTACGCAGTCCAAAATCCGGACGTCAATTATCTGGAATGATATAAAATACGGACCACGAAACCACCAATAACATTTTTCTCAGAGGCTTTTCGTATGTGCAGTTGATTCCCCCCCCCCGGCCACATATAAAACATCTAGAGAGTCCTGATTCTTAATTTCACTTCACTAACAAAATACCTCGTTATTGAAGAAACAAACATTTTAGCATAAATTTGTATAATCAGTAATTTGGCTCCATTGCTGTATATCTGCTTGGCACACTTCTCAAACCGAAACATTCTACACAGATACATTATTGATCTGACACCAACCCGGCGAATCATTATTTATTATACTTTCCTTTCATCATCACATATTTATCAAAACATTCAAACTCGAGCGAGCTACAAGTGTTCAGCCACCTTTACCGCTCTACTGAAGAGCCCGTAAAAAAATTGATAAAGAAAAAGTATTGAAATAACCGGTTTAATTTACTAACCTATATTTCTCAATCGACAGTACATAAATTACACGTATGAGGGGATTATTTGTGACTTAATAAACTGTATTGCACTTTTCTCCACTATTTCATATTACGATGGAATTATTGCATTTTATTTCTCATGAATTAATTTTGCTCTGTTCATGATTTTTTATATTTTCAAAGAGAAAATTTCACACTTGAAATAAAAAAAATGCACGAGATGATACTTTATGCAAAATTTGGTGTAAACGGTTTTCTTAATTTTGCTTTGAAAATATTCCAGGGTAATTGTTTTCATCACTGGAAGAAATATGAAAAACAGATTTACTACATTGTGTCAACACCCAATATGTCCTCATTCTTTTGAAAACGTGAAAGATTACTCTTTCTAAAATAAATTAGAAAATATATTACGTGCAAATAGAATATTCGTTGAAAATGAAATAGACTTCAATCTTTGGATATAACGATGGTTTTAGACGAAATTTCTACCTATGAAAAGAAATTGATGTATAATTAATTCTTCATAAACATTTAAACTGTTCTGAAAAATACTCTGATGATTGCATGTATAGTCACGGATGTTTTTTCTCTGCTAACAAAAACAAAAGCCAATTTTACAAAGAAAAAGTTCTCGTTAAAGATATACCCTCCTTGCCTGATCCTTATAGTCCAATGTAATATTTTTAAAGTTTAAATGACGAAATGCAACCAATGTATCTCGGATTTTCTTTTTTATATTATAATAACAAAATTATCGAAAAAAAAAAGCATTTAAAGCTCTGTATTGTTATGTAAAGCTTTATTATTGCTGCAAGTTCATCTCAAAATCTAATTGTATTGAATCTCATTCTAATCATCTAATGGTAATAATATTATTATTATTATTTCATTAAATTAGTCATTACCATTATTTTGTTAATGAAAATATGTTATTAAAAATTGCATTCCAGCCTGCAGACTTACAAAGCTAGTTCGTATTTATTATATTTTGTAAAATTTTGTTCTCGTTTTCTAATTTCTAATACGAAAATACGCGAATATGAAATGACAAAAAACAAGTTAAAAAATTCACAATTATTTACGAGATTGATCAGAAATAGTGAGTGAAATATAAACATTGCATACATTTTGTTCTAAATAAATAGTGCACTGTATATGCATCCAGTACTGCATATTTATTTATGCACTATTTATTTAGAACTTCATTTAAATGAAAGCAAAATACTCATTGAAAAAATCGCTAATCTAGCAACGCCTCTACTATGGGACGTAAGCGTCCGACAAACATGTAAATTTTACTGCATCCATGGAGGGGGAATAACGACTTTTCTCATTAGGAAAATGTCAAAGAGGGGGCAAAACTGTTTCGGATCGTGCCGGTCTGAAGGCCATATTATGAGAATTTTGTTCCGGTTTTAGAAGGTTATCTGGAATAATATAAAATATGGACCACAAAACCACCAACAACATTTTTCTCAGAGGCTTTTCGCATGTGCAGTTGATTCCCCCCCCCCGGGCCACATAATAAAACATCTGGAGAGTCCTGATTCTTAATTTCACTTTGGCACTAAACAAAATACCTTGTTATTGAAGAAACAATCATTTTAGCATAAATTTGTATGATCAGTAATTTGGCTCCATTGCTTCATATCTGCTTGGCACACTTCTTAAACCGAAACATTCCACACAGATACATCATTGATCTGACATCAACCTGGTGAATCATTATTTATTATACTTTCCTTTCATCACTATATATTTATCAAAACATGGCAACTTGAGTAATGACTCATGTAGCGATGCCTAAACAATTTTTTATGTTAATAATTGAATAATAATGGAGTATAGTAACCTTTTATGTTGACATTACGCTTGGCGATGATTACAGATTTAAGTTAAATGTGCTAATAATTTTTTATGACGAAAAATTTAGCAAAATTTTCTTTCCATATGCTCAAAATAATTTTCTCGATGATATTCAGAGACCCAAAGATTACATTTAGGGCTATTTGAATTAAGAATAACTGATTTGTTATTCA